CAACTTGAATCAAGTGAAGAGCACGACGAGAGACGTTAAGAAGCCGAAAGGCTAACGTTACGGGGGAAACCGAGTAGGGCCGACACTCGTAACAGGCGATACACTCAAATATGTCGGAGACGCTGAATGGTTTTCCAACACATCCTCCCGTCCTTCACATATGTGCGTCAGTCCAAATCTCAAATACAAATAGATATGTTTACAAAGTATATATGAACTTTTTTATTTTAGTAACAATAACACAGACTGTAAAATCCAGTTATAGGAACAGATTCAGTCGTGTGGTTCCTTGGCTTTTGCATTGGTCCGTCTCATTAACGGTCTGATTTTCTCCAGCTCGTTTTACTCTCATTCGTTAGATTGATCAGATCCATGTAAACCCGTTAAAATTAAAAAACAAAATTAATTTAATTTTTTCAAATGTTTCCAGTCGTTAAAATTCGTTCACGCAAGTTATGTCAACCGTCTTTGTTTCAACACAATTTTTTTCTGTCGTCCGTTTTTAAAAAAAAGTCCCAATAGGGAAGAGGTTTTTTAAGTAATAGATCTTGCCTATTTGATTCCTTTGAAGGAAATCCAGCCCTAGTTTTGAATGAGTATTTCTTTTTTTCTTTCTAAACAACACACTGCTTTCACATAATGTTCTCTCAACTGTTTTCAGTCATAAATGTCCTCAGCGTTATTTCCCATTTCCACCACTCGTCCCTGTGCCACTCCGCCGTCAGCTGCTTTTTTTTGGTTTTGGCACACCATGTTGCCTTGGAGGAAATGAATTGATCCACGAATTTTATTTTAAGAGAATTGTTCATAGCAATCAACATCTTGGACTTTGGCTTCGCTCATCGCAAACGTATTCTGGCCTGACAAGTCGATAGTGCTACATAATTTTGTTTATGAGACTTCCAGGCTATGTGTATCTCCATACAGTTGTATTAAAAATCCACTCGTTGTGATGGAGCCCTTTGCAATCAGCAAAGCTAGCATCCGAATACGCTCTTAGATCATCCTGATTAGACAAATATTCAGTCCTACATCCGTCGTTCCTTTTAAATATCTAAAACACTCGTTTCAACCATTTTCCAGTCATTATCCACTGGATTTATTTGATTGTCTACTTAGCACATTGACTGCATAAGCTATATCTGGTCGTGTTGCACCAGCCAGATACAATAGACTTCCAACAGCTTCTCTATACGGATATTTTCATTCGTTTTTTGTCACTGTAGCAAGCTCTGGATCCCTCACTCTCTTCTCTAAGCTTTCGTTCTTGTGGCCGCCTGTGTTGTAATCATAGGAGTTTTTCTGTGGATGTGATTCTGAAAATAATTAAATCTCTTCAGTATCTTCTCTATGTACCGTTTTTGATTCAGGACCAATATTTTATTTTTCCATCTCTTTCGTGATACTATACCAACCCAAAAATTCTTGGTACACCTAAATCTGTCATTTTTAAATTCACTTTTAAATCGTTCTCACTTCTTTCAGTTATATATCTCTCATTACTTGCAAACTAAAATATCATCAACGTACAACAGTAAAATCAAAACTCTTAGTATTCCGCCAGGTAAACAAACATGGTTCTTCATTGCAATTAATCAGGCTATACTAGAGCTACTTTCTGTAAAACCTTTTGTTCCAACGTTTTGGACTTATTTTCACACCTATAACGCTCGTTTAGTTTGCATACTTTCTCTCGTCTGTCGGTATCACTTATTTCAATTCCATCAGGTTTTCCATGAAATTTCCTCATCAATCGTCCATTGAGAAAAGCAGTTTGCACATCTAGCTGACAAACTTCCAGATCATATTTATTCTAATGGCCAGCACAGCTCGAACTAGGGTAGTCTGGACACGAGCATAAGTCTCTTTCAGCTCGTAGGGACGTTTCTGTCTTGAAACCTCGTATAAACCAGTCTTGCCTGTGTCTTATTTCACCATCATCTTTACTTTCCTTTTAAATACCCATCGAGAATCATTATTCGCTCGTTTACCATCACTCGTTAGTTTTGGGTCGATCAATGATTCCCACACGTTATTTTCCGACATTGATTTCAACTCATTATCTACTGCTTCTTTTCCAGTAAATAGATTCACTCGATGACATGGCTTGTCTGTAGTAGCAGGATCCTCATTTATTCTTGCCAGCATTGCACAATACATTTCATCTTCTAGGTTTTCTATTTTTCTATCATCGTCGTCATTTAGTTTAGATGTAAACATAATTTTACCTTCAATTTCTCTATTTCACTCATGCTCTAATTCACTCTGCCCATTATTATTTGTTATTATTGTTATCACTCGTCACATTCGTGTCCTGTTATTACAGTGATTTTCCTAGGTCTTCCCTCTTTTTCTTTTTATTGGAATCTCTCCCTCCGTTTTTAAACTTATCAGTACATTCGTTATATTTTCAGAGGAAATTCCACAACAAACCATTTGTCTTTTTCTTTTCTAGTTTTCCACTCTTCAATTGGCCAGTTTCTAATGCTGTCTTTAGTCCGTATTGTCGCCATAAACCAATTTCTCGTTAAATCGCACATCTCTGCTCTCGTAAAATTTTCCTTCTTCAGGTTTTTAAAAAATTGGTACCCAGTGGGGAGTATAGCCAACTAACACCACTTCGTCTTCCTTCGAACGGAAAACTTTGGTCCAGTCTTCCGTTGAACTTTAAATGTAGGGCAATACAGCCAAACGTTTAAGTTGGTTTATATCAAAATATGATTTGGTTGCAAATCTACTCATAGGAGTTATCATGTCATTTGCTTTTATGAGGGGTCCTATTATAGGCATAGACAGCTGCACTCAAAGCCAAAATCCCCACATGTTCTCGGGGTAATTTTGCATCATACATGTAGGCTCGCACCTTCTTCTGTATAGTATCTGATTTAAACCGCTCTGCAACACCGTTATGTTCAGGGGTATCAGGACTAGAGACCTGTACTCTGCACCTAATTTATTTAAAACCTCTGTCGTATAACCACCTTTAAATTCAGTTCCCTGGTCAGAGCGTAAATAGCACACTTTGGCATCTTTTCCAGCAGATTTCGCGCACTCTTCACAAATGCTTCAAAGCAAGCACCCGTATCACTCTTAACTTTCATCGCATATGCCATTGCCAATCGCGAATAGTCATCAATGAATACAGATATAAATTTGTATCCTTTAGGATGAGAAGGTGGACTAATTGGTCCCATCGTATCTGGAATGTATAATCTCAGTGGAGCATTCGCTCGTCTACGCACTGTTTTAAATGGCAACTTGTTTATTTTAGAAACCATACAGATCTCACAATCCATGATCGATTGATCGAACACGATCTTCTGAAGCTCTTTATTCTCGGTAATTTTCTTGGCAATGCCTTTAAATAATTTACTGAAGCATGCCCCAGCCTGACGTGCCATAACATTGCTTTGTCATAATTTGTTTTATTATTACACTCGTTTAATGGAGATTCAATATCTGTTGTTTCTGTTACTGGCAATTCATTTGGATCGTTAATTTTCCTATCCCATATGGTTGTTTCAAAGTTAAAGTTTTGATACATTTATTTTTCATGTTTACATTCTGATCATCAGTGATACTTGACTCAGTGTATCCAGTCAGAGTATTACTATTGGTCTTCCTTTCTCTGTCTTCAGTCTGTACTTTGTTCTCACCATTCGTTCACTCGTACCTCTTCACACGCTTCCACTCGTTTGTTTTCACCCGTTTTCTCTTGCCTGCTCTCATCGTTTCCACTCTTTCTGTACCGTCTATCGTCTCATCTGTTGTTTTTGATTTCTTTGCTCTCGTACACTCATTATCATTTTCGCTCATATCTGTTCGGTTAATAAATTTTCCTCAGCACTCGTTTTGTCTTCTGTCGCAATGTTTCGCCACATACATCTTGCTTCATTTACAGTTGTTTTGTAATCACTCGTCAAGTCAGCTAAAATATATTTGTTAGATCTTTCGCATATATTACTCTCGTTTCCAGCCGTATCTCGATTGATTTCCAGTTCAATAATCCAATAGGGTTTATTATAAACACCTGTAATGAATAGCTCATTCGAGACTGGATCAAATATATTTATCCTTTTCTTATCTAAATATATTGCTAATCCCATTTCAGCGAATTTTCTCAGGGACATAAGATTATCAGAAAGAGCCTCCGCAAATATAACGTTATCAATTTTCATAACTTTGTTATTGTCCAGGATTACTTCAACCTGGCCTACTCCCTCCGTTCTCAGGTCCGCTGAAGGATTTTTATTAGCACATTTTATTGTACCGTAGTCTTTTACGTCCAGGGTCTTAAAAATTATTCTAGAATTTGTGAGATGTTCTGTCGCACCTGAGTCGGCTAAGAACTTGGCTACTAATCTACCTTCGTTATTTACTCTTTCTCTATCATCATTATACTCGTGTAAATATCATCGTTTCTTAACTTAGAGTTAATATCAGCCAAGAATGACTTACCCTTGCAGTATCAGCTGATTTCTTATTCCCCATCATTATTTGATTTGGGCTGTTTGAAGTTCTTATTAACATATTTGTAGCCACCTCGACCTTTATTTTGATTGAATCTGCCTCTCTTTGTAATTATAACCTCTCGTATTATCGTCATTTCTCCTTTTCAATGTCTGTCGTCTGTCGTTAATCTGTCCAGATTTTTGTAAGTTTTTATTGTAATTATACCTGCCATTACCTCTTTTATAAACTCGACCACTCGTAGATCCTTGCTTCTTTAGTCTTTCCTGTCTTTGAGGACACTCGTCAGCCTTATGGTTTGTGAACTTATTACACTCGTAACATTTCACAACACCTGTTCCTTTTCGGGGGCAATCATAACTGATATGACCAAAATCAGAGCACTCATAACATCTCGCACTCGTACCTTTCTTAACTGTCATTGCTGCTCTGGTCTCTCCTGATTTTGTCTGATTTCGATTTGCCTCTGCCTGCATCAAAAACATTTTCAGACTCTCATAATCTAAACCCTTACCAGTCCCACTCACTCTTATAAACTCAACAGCTTGAACAGAAGGAACCGTGGTCATAATAGCATTATAAAATGTGTCGCGTTTTTCCTCCTCAGAAAAGGTCGCAGTGTCTGAGATATTCCCATAATCGCGTATGCAGTTTTCAAACCTTTCACAAAACTCAGAAGCACTCTCTTTATCTGGTGAATACTGCATGGTGTGAAAATTCCTTCTAATCATACTAGTAGTTAAATTCACCTCATATCGTTTTAATTCTTTTATTTTATTTAGTATTTCGACAGGATCTTTTAAATGAGCTACCTTTGTGTGATAGTATGACTCTAAACGATTTATGAGAATATCACGCACTTTGAATTTATGTTTTGTCAAAGTATTTGCATCATAATTTTTAGTCGGTTTTCACTCGTGTCAATTACATACAATAGTTCAAGCGATCTCAATTCTGAAGAAAAATAATCGTAAAAGTATTCAAATTTCGTTTGATTAGTTAATTTGTAATCTCGGCGCGTACCCACATCTTTACTTATTATCTCATACTTTATTGCATCTTTAACATCATCAGCTCTAACGTATCTGTCGTCATTCTGTCTTACATTGCTATTTAAATTGTGACCACTCGGTTTCTCCCAGATTGATGTCTGAGCTTCTGTTCTGGGTCATGCAACTCACATCAGGTTCACACTCTTTTACCTGTTTTATATACACTCGATTTTCTCTACTTGTTTACCCAGATCACTCATATTTTGTCGGTTACGACATAACTCTTCCATAATTTCTGATTGCCTTTTCTCCCATGCTTTTCATAGTTCAGTTAAGCTAGCCAACATTTTGGACTGCTGCAACAGCATATTGTCCATGGCATTGAAGCAAGGTATCCAGGCAGTCGCCTTTTCGTCAGTCTTTTGTTTAGTTTCTGAATTTGTGTCATCTAAACAATTTTTATTGTCAGATTTATTCAATAGTTTAGGAACGTTAAATTTCTTTAGAGATATTTTTACCGGTTTTGTCTCAATTATTTTAGGTAGACCTTTACCTTTTGTCTCAGTGGCCAACTGAGTTATATTATCTCCTTCTACATTATGAATCATAGCTCTCGTTGTGTTGACACTCCTCTTATAACTAGTTCCGTCATATCTAGTTCCCTCGTCACTCTTTCCGTCGTCACCACTACTGTCGTCATTCGTTCTGTCGTTACTGATTCTCTCGTCACTCTTTCCGTCGTCACCCACTACTGTCGTCATTCGTTCTGTCGTTGCTGATTCTCGTAGCCAACCATTGTTTCCTCTACAGGATCAACTATTTCCTGTTTCTTTACAGTACTCGGCAGCACAGCTTTCACACCCTGTTTCTTACATTTGTCCAGCCATACTTCTAGCGCTTTCAACTCCTCTTTGGTAACAAATGTTTTAGCTGCAATATATTGAGAAAGAATAAAATCTGACATTTGGCAGGATTTTAAATCATGTCGTTAGCTGGATCCACCGAACACAAGTTTCTCCAGACTAAGACGAGCAAGTATACATTTACCCGAACACAAGGTTACACATATACAAACTCTACTCTCATACATAGTAGCCAAATGCACGGCACTCAACCACCAAGCATGAGTAATTTGATTTTAATGGTTTAAAAATTATTATTTAGAATGTCTTCAGACATTCATAGGTCTTTTATTATTCGTGCTTTAAATATGCACAGTTACTCGAGATTTTAATAATTAAATTTACGATGCATCTTAATTATAATTTCATTTGTATAGCTATACATATTTTCTTGGAAATATTTCAAAAATAAATAAAATACCCTTCGCTCACCTGCTTTGTACTCAACACTCGTCTGAGTTTTAGTGAAATATAATTTTCATGCAGGGATAACTCAATTTCCTCATTTGGGGTGGTTTGCTTTAAGCATAAACCACACCCTCCAGCTTGACCATAACATTTTCAAATGTCATGTTATCAAGCATTTCATTTAACGTGTCTATTTCAAGAGCTGTAGGAATGAAAAGAATTGTTAGTTTACATGCAAACATATATTTTATAGTTGATCAACTTTTATTTAATTTAGTGTAGCGAGAATTTGGCCCGTAGTTCGAGACAAAGAGCCAGTAATGCGTCTTTCATTTGTTTGTTTATTATTATTTTTTTTTTCATCTACATTCCTTCGCTCGTTGTCTAGCACTCGTTTTCCCGTTCAACTGTCTGATCATGCGCACAACTCGTCAATTGTCGTCACAATGGACTCTCAAATTCCCGCCAAGCCAAACCTCGCCGCACGATCGTGCTTAGTTTTTAATTTATTTGTACTTAATCATGATTTTTTTTTATTTTTATACTAGGCCTAGATTTTAAATAACCTTTATTCAGTAAAATGAACAATGATTTCTTTGTTTTAGCTAAACATTGGACACTCGTTGACTATTTTCCAAACCGTGTCATCACTCGTCAAACCGCCTTTCATTTAATAATGTATACATTAATTTTCTTGTTCATTTTACTTTAAAAGAATTGATACCAACTCGACGACACTGTCGATCCTTCTTTGTCTTTGTTTTCAGCCATTGAAACTGCAAGTCTTCTTTGTTAGATTTTCCAAAATCACTTACACGTTTCTCTATACTACACCTTTTATAATTTAACAAACACTTTATTAATCTGCTCAGTGAAAGCGAGCTCTGGGCCCATAACCTGTTAGAGGTTATGTGGATTTAAACAATAATAATAAGACTTAGTTTAATTAGAAATTAGAACTTTATTTATCAATGAATATATTATTGAACCGTAATAGACGACCAACTTGAATCAAGTGAAGAGCACGACGAGAGACGTTAGCCGAAAGGCTACGGGGGAAACCGATTAGGGCCGAACACTCGTACAGGCCCTATACACTCAATATGTCGGAGACGCTGATTTCCAACATTAAAAAATTGTAAAAAGATAAAATTTTAAATAGAACGTACGAAATTTTAATGATGTCTAGACGTGGGGTTCCATTAAATACAGGGTTTTAAATTATTTCGATGATATTATGACTTTTTACTATTGTAAATAATAGTTTAAAAAGGGGGAATGGCATAAACAAGATGCCTTGGAACAACTTAATCTAAAAAACAAAAAAATTGTGAACCCAATTTCAGATGGGGTTCCACTTCTAGACCTATATTTAGCAATTTCATAATTTTCTATTTCATAAATGACTTCTTTTGAAACACATTTCAGTGGAAATAATTTTTCAACTGTAAGATTTTTTTAAAAATTAATAGACCTGATTCATGGTTAAAAAAAATACTCTGTTAGAATTAGAAAAATTTTATTTTCAAATAAAATTGTTCAGACAAATTTTAAATTCTGATAATTTAATAATGTTCTTTACTTGGCCGATTTATTTGCCAATTTGTCACATAAACATAATTTCACAATCTCTTGTCATTTATAAAAAGATCATAACACTCACCCATTTGGCAATATCAAACCTGTAGTAGTTTGTTGGGAGTACAAAAAAATTACGAAATAAACCATTGAATAATTCGATAGCAGTTTTCTGCTTACCACGATTTCTCTCTTCATCTTCGTTGATGGTTCTTTTCTTCCGACTCACCCATGTCACATATTTGTCAATAATGTATGCAACACTCTGACACTACAAGTCGCCAGACTGGTTTTGAAAGTGCATCAGAATTATATGGTTACACTCATAAGTGTATGTATTTAAATTATCTGATGTGGAGTCTGTCATGAAGAGCGAGTGTCAATATGGGATTTCATTGTGAAACACTACTTACAACGGCATATGTTTTAGTACTAAGAAGTCGGCGACCGCAAAATGAGCTCATTGCCCTTGTCATACTCAGTTATATTTTCAAATTTAAATAATTCTCTAATAAACATTAGATATATTTTTTCATTCAAAAATTTTTTAAATGAATTTTCAAAAACAAATCTAATCATTGATTTGTTTAAAAATAACTTTATAGAATTATTTTAATTTATATGGATAAATTCAATGTAGCTATAGACTAGGGAAATGGAGGCATGCAATGCCTTGGAGAATTGCAACCATCACATTAAAATAAATAACCTATTAATAAATCCAATAATAAATCTTTTAGAGTCATTATTTTATTAAATACTTTAAAATCAATATTATTATTTGCAATTTCTAAGTAACAAATTTTTATAAAAATTTATTTTTATTCTACTAGTAAAAATTTTCACAATGAAACAATCCATAATTTTAGTTCAACTTAACTCTGAGAGAAAAGAAATAAATTTGTTAACAATAGATAGTATTAAGGCATTTATTATTAATGACTTATTTAATCTTGAAAAAAAAAAATTAATCAAAAATACCCTTTGTTTATATCGCGAGTAATCGGACCGGAAACAATAGCAACAGTAGCAAAAGATACCAAATCAAGATCAAGCTGGAATAAAAAAAAGAAGTCAAGTAAGTTGACCAATAAATGAATCTGTACGGGTTAGTTGCGGTCACGAGGGCTCAAGGGAGATACACCTGATGCTTCTGAGTAGTCTTATTTTACTCTTTAGCTTCTTCGAATAGTCGTGCTTCCAATCCAAGCAACGATTAATCGGTCGGTGCGAATGAATGAACCAGACTCGACCCGGTAGCCTCGGTCTACCTATTCCAGTCTATTCGATGACTCGGCCGTCCTTCTCAATCAACAGACACCTCCTTTAACTATATATGCCAAGTTGTGTTTACTAGCCAACTACGCCACACCCCACAGTCGTTGGAGAACGGATGAGTCCAGTGAGTATTGATTATGATGATGGTCTAGTGTCCGAGAATCTATTCGACCTCGACTTGTACCTACTGACCTCACTCACTCTTCAAACTACTCTATCAACGACCTCCTCTTTATTCTTCTTTTTCTCTTCACTTGGACTACATTTTATCTTCTTCAGGTTTGATGTTAAATGTCAGGACAAACAACAAGAAGTGTTATTTATCACAATCGGTTTTTTGAAATGCTTTTTATTTGAAAAATATCAAAAAAAATGTTATTTATGAGAACTACATAATTTACGAATTAATTAGTAAATTAATATCAATATAAATCATCTTATTATTTTAATTCACTTATCGTTACTTCAATACCAAATTTATTTTATCATTTTTAAATACTTTTAGTAAAATTTTTATATTGATAGAAAAATTAGAAACTTTTTTTACAAACACTTTTATCAACAATAGGTGATATTTTTACTAGAATGAAAGCTACCGGAACAATGAAGCCAATAAACTTTCATGGAATTCCAATCATCAACATACTTTTCTTATTTAAATACAAATTTAAAAGAAAAAAATAATATTTAAATCAACTTTTTAACATCATCACAATAACTAGTAATAATTATTAAAAGTTTTATTTATATTTAACGTTTATTCATTCTACTCAGTTTTATTCACTACTCATCTTCTTGAATAAAAGTCCCATAAAACAGCCTATTTTTCATCACTCTTTCAAATCCAATCCTGAGTTTGATTAATTATCTGATAACTCACTCAGATGAACTTTTCAAAGCATAACATAGTCATGAATTATTACAATTATCACCTTGTTCCAGAGCAACATAAAAAAAATAATCCAAGTCCTAATGACTTATTTAGCAATTTAAAATGTGATTTGTCAGGAGCTTATCAATCCAATTATCAAAGTAGCACATAGAACTTTAATACTCCATAATAGTAGACTCGTGGAGAGAAAAGTAGAGACATGATGCATGTAAGGAACGAGAGGAAGTAAGACAGAGAGAAGAAGAAAAAAGAAGAAGTAATGTTTGCTCGCAGCCGGGTTTCGCGCGCCAAGAGGAGTCGGTCAAATAACTGTATATGTCGAGGGCTTAAGCGGCCTCTCGACGACATCTTCAGCATTGTCTGAACGACCCCCACGGATCTTTCGCGTCCTCTCGACCTTCTCTTGTTCCCATACTGAATTGCGATCAGTATCGTGTAGTCTCCTTCATCATCTATTCCAAACTAATATACTTAAGCCCCTCATTATTCATCCAGCCATTCATAATACTCAGAAGCTATCTGATTATCAGGTAGAAAATCATCAATTACTAAATGATTTCCAGTATTAAATTTATATACAAGTCTGTGGCTTTAATCTTCAATGTAAACATGTAAATGAATATCAAGAGTTTCCTTTCCTGTCTTTAGATACTTTAGATGCTCTCCAGGGTCTTCTAGATGACATAACTTGAACTTGATGATCTTGACATTATTTTTAAAGACTGATATCAAATGGATAGTTGTCAATAATAATCCAATTATCAATTATTTATGAGTTTTGATCATTGAAAATTTTTTTTGTTCAGGTTTTTTATTTCGTTTCAGGTTTTGTTGAAACAACGGATGTTTTGAATTCATTTAATGATGAAAAATGATGGACTATTATAATGGTCACAAGTACAGATAGACATTGATCATTAAATTTTTACTGTTCAGTATCAATTAATAATATGAAATCATTCGTAGTATTATTTAGAAAAATGATAAAAAATAGTCTTCATTGATGAATTAAAATATTTGTTTTTATTACAGAAGAACAAGTATCGCAGTCTGGAATTACCGGGGTAAATCAAAATGGGCGTGATGGTAAGTGATTAGTTTTTTCTCTCAGCACTTGATTTGTCATTAGTGCATGATTCAAATCACTCTGTTCATAATGGCATGATCTATATAAACTTCATTGCATGATAGCTGATGCTGCAGAAATACAGAATTTCACTTAACAAGATGCATTAAAATAATTACATTATCAAATGATTAATATTGAAATTATTACAGTAACATTGAGAGTTTCTAATTCTTTTATAACGTAATTAAGCATAAAAATAATTCTCATATCGGACACAGTCTATTTTTCCTAGATCTTATTTCACTGCACTTAATTTTAGTTGGTAGTGTTTGTTAATCTCATAAATCTCGAGATTTCTCTTCTCTATTCTTGCATCATCATCTAGACATTTCAGAGCAGGTCATACAATGTATTTCCTTACTTGTTCCTCATAAGTACAACTCGTGTAGACGCATGATGCGGCGATTTTAATCATATCACCTTTTCCTTTGCATTGTTTTTTTTTTCATACTTTGCTACATTTTATACTTTACTCACAAAATCCTTAACAACATTACTCATTTTATACTTTTGCAATCTACACTGACTGTTCCGATACAAATCCTCTTGAAGAAAGTTGGAAAATGTTTATTAAAACAAATCATTTTTAAGTCGATCAATTTTTATAATATATAAATTGAATAAAATACTTAAAAAATATTTCCAGCTTTTTTTTTTGTAAATTTATAAATATTTTGTAAAGTAAATGACTAAAAGCTGACTGGCCATCATTCTATAATCCTTACTAATGACTAATTAGACATTATAATAGTAGCATTGACACATTACCAGTGATGATAAATAATAAAAAATAAAATTAACAATTATACTTAAATGACATAATAGGACAAGCTATAAAGCTAATAATAATTAATAGAAATGATCATCATTATACTTACAAGGCAGATGGTCCAAGGCTAGCTTCGATGGATGATATATTTTCTACATTACATACACATGCATAAAAATTTGGGCTCGTCTACTAAAGTTCGTCTCTCTCTTTTTTTCTGTTTCTGTTACTGCTCCCGCCTGCCATGTCCCTGCCTCTTCAACTTGTTCTCAACAACTGTGGATGCCGTCTGTCTCCAACGTCCGCCACCTTCGTCTCTCCGACGATACTTCTACATTCAAATAATAAACAACAATCACCAATAAATTACTACTACGATTTAACTATTAAATGTGTCTAAAAATCTTTTCACGACTTACTTAATATCTTACTTTACCAATTAAACTTGAACAAAACAATTGATATTGATGACTAAATGTGACATTCAATTACTTTCTCCTTTACTTACTGATATACTTAATAGACTTAACGGTACTTCTCGTGTCCGCTCGGCCAGGAAAATCTATCCCTCCAGTAGGTTTAATTGGAAAAACTGCACGTACTTTTGTTCAAGACGGTGCTAGTACAGAATACGCCACTCAAGTACTTGGTACTACTCTTGATAATGGTCGTGTTTATGCTCAAATACTCTCAACATCTAGCCGCGTGTTCTATGAGAAAGATAGTACTCTTCCAGAATCATCTAGAGTCGATCCTTTTGTAGTTTATCCCTCAAGAGTTGCACCTCAAGATGAGTGGAAACTATTTGGTGGAATAATTGAAGACGACAGCGCTGGAAAGCGAGAAGAAGCAATCATTCATGAAGAAATATATTCTTCTTCTTCATCATCATCAAGCAGCTCTTCAGAACCTCACGACCGTGAAAATGATATTTTTGAAGTCCGAAAGGAATTCAATGTTGATACTCATCCAAGATTCAAACCTGCCAAGGTTAGAACACCTAATTTACCAACTTACACAGTGAAGCAAGAACTGGTTGGAGGATTTGCTGGTTCCGATGACGCCAACGAAGAAGATGGACATAAAAGTTTTAAACCCCGAGTACCAAAGATTTTTAAACATTCATCCGCTAAAGTTAATTTGAATAAAAAAGAATCAACACCTCTTCAAACTGTTACTTATCATGGATTTGCTGATTTCACTACTACTGTTGGAGATACAGTTATTATATTTTCTCCAAGCACTTCATCAGCATCTCCCAGCCGTCCAGCAACAACAATTAAAGGTGATGCGACTTTGAGACCTGGTGATGGAAACGCAGTATTAATTAAACCTACAAGTATTGTCAAAGATGAGAAAACCGTTGATCCCATGCTTGAAGCCATCAATGGGCATTCTAGACCAGAATCTAGTGTTTTATCCTCAAGCATGGTTGATGAATCTGGTGATTCTTCATCAAAATCTACTCCTCTACTTTTGTTACCTGAAAATGAAACTGCTCAGCCAACAGGCCTGCTCAAAGTTATAGATTCTACAACTTCTGCTGATGGTACAACTACTCATTATAAGAGTCTTATTTATGGAACATATGTTGGTACAAATTACGCTCAAATTATTCATACCTCTTCTAATGTTTATTTCTTTCCTGATGAAGCTAGCGTTTCTTATGATACAACGACCACAAAGTTTGAAGAAGAGACTGAAGATTCTCTGACAACTCTTGGAGTAGATTCAACAACTTCATCAGATTTGGATGAAACTCTTTCTCCAGAGGTGAATGAACTTACTACACTTTTAGATGAAGTTACTGAGAATGTACCGACAACTATCAAGATCTCCAATACTACTCCAATGGAGCCGGAGATTCTTAATGATATTGTTGATCCCCAAGGGCGCAGTGTTAAAGGAGGTTCAGCTAAAAATAATATTGACAATGAAGAAAAGAAAATTGAATTCGCTACTAGATTATTGCCTTCTACTGCTTATAAAACGTTCACGTACTTTACAACTTTCTTCATCCCTGACCCGACACATAAAGATGTTACAACTACATCTGTTAGGTCACGAGAAGTTGTGTCATCAGAAGTTTCTTATTTGACTGAATTAATTCTGCCTAGTGCTACTGAAACCGGTTCAATGAATACTGCTTTACCTCCTTCAATATCATCAGTACCACCAACATCTTCAACTCCGCCTGCAGATTCAAAATTAGAAGACGAAGAATCAACAACTAAAAAAGAAGAAATTGAACTCATTTTCAAAACATTATACACCACTTACACTTATTTAACAACTTTCTTCCAAGAGAGTACTTCAAGTGTATCAAGTCGTGAAGTTGTTGAAACTAATGTCGTGACTCAGACAATCGGGCCTGATGGAATATCTGGTGACTTCATTGGACTTTTTAATGATGAAGTTTCTATTACTCCAACAAAAATAGTAGACTCTATTCAACCATCAATATTTGTTACTCCTGAAGACGATGCAGTTACATATGAAGTACCTACCACGATAGAAGACTCAATTACAGAGTCAGGATTGACTACTTTGATGGATCTGGAGAATGAAAAAATTATGGAAGAAAATAAGAATAAAGCAGCAGCTCAACTTGAACCAAGTCCAGTACCTAATCTCGCAACTGAAGTACCCAAGTATGAAACGAAAACTTATTTTACTACCTACACTTATTTCACAACTATTTTCGTTGATGATGAAACTGAAATTGAAACAAGAACAGAAGTTTTTAGTAATATAGTGACTGAAAAAATTGAACCAACAGCTGTAGTACCATCTCCTGAACAAACTACTGTAGTCGCTACTACTCCCAAGAGTGATGCTGCTGCTGCACCACCAGAGATTTTAGCCTATTTGGAAGCTTTGAAGAAACAAAAATCACAAGAAGAAGCTTTGGAAGCTGCTAAAAAAATTCAAGAATCTTCTAATACAAGAGAAATGAAAGCTAAAGTAGAAGATAAGACTGAAAAGCCATTAGAATCTAATTCAGTTGCAACCACAACAGAAAAAGTACCTATTGATGGTGAAGTACTTGGTTCTATGATTACTGATGTTATTTCTTCCTCAAGTTCTTTTGATGGACCAATTTTAGAACCACCTATGGACAAAAGAAACGTGGGCTCTACTATACCAGAAGATCAAGAGTTATCAGAGTCTAATCATCATGAGGTAGAACCAGCGCCAACGCTTCTCCTCCGTACAAGTTTCACGACATTTACATACTTTACAACAATGTACAAAGGAGATGCAAGTGATGTGACATCTCGTTTAGAAACTGTTACAAATATTGTTACAGAAACTATAAGACCTACTCCAACTGTTGAAATATCAGCCACTGAAACCAGCAGCCTTCCCGTTACTTACTTTACTACTTTCACTTATTGGACAACGTTTTATCGAGCAGGAGATACAATCACGACCAGCCGAGAGGAAACTGTAAGTAATGTAGTTACCCCTGGAATATCAGCAACGCCCACTGCTCAACTTGGAGTCATCATGACCTATCGTCCAGATGAGGTTGTTGATGAGGTAGCAGCGAATACCGACAAAACAATTGCTGACAATGAAGTGATGGAACAAGAAAAAGGCACTACTCCAATCCCGGCATCTAAAGAAGTTATTTATGCAGTTCCTGATGATCAAGCTTCTATAGATACATCAACTATTAATCCAGAACCAACGACGTATTATACAACTTTCACCTACTTCACGACTTCTTATATTGGCAATGAGACTATTTTGAACTCACGACTGGAGACAATCACGAGTGTAGATCTTGGAAGTATTCCTAAAGCAACAGGAAGAGCAATAGGTGGCCCAGTGTCGAAGGTCCAAGACTTAGAAAGAGAAGAAAAAGTGAAACCACTCGAAGTAACTCCCACGAAAACATCAGAAGAACCCAAGACAGGTTTATTGTCAACAATCAGATCTAGTGATGTTACTAATGGTACGACAACTCATTACAGCACAGATATTTATGGAACATACATTGATGGATTGTATGCTCAGGTTGTACAAAGCACTACAAGCTTAGAAACTCCATCAAATACTCCAGCAGTTTCACCAACCTCTGTAGCGACTCCACCACTTCCCACAGGAGTTCTTTCGTTAAATAAAGGCAGCATCATTGATGCTGATAAAGTGACGACAGTTTACTTCGCCACTAGTCAAATTGGCACATTGATAGATGGTCTTTATGCTAAGGTGATTGAAAGTACTTCGAGTACGAAGATAGATGCAGAGAGAAAGGCTACGTTGAAGCAGCCAGAGGAAAGACATAGGACTGGATTAGTCAGATTAATTAAAGGACAAATTGAAGTTGATGGGTCGACAGTCATTTATCAATCGAAAGTTATCGGTACAAGTATTGAAGGAAGATATGCACAAATTATAGAGAGTACATCTAGTTACATTGTACCTTCAGCAACAGTATCACCAACTGGTAAAGTTTCTCTTCACGCTACACTAGCACCTGGTCTTCCATCACCTACTCCAGCTGTCATTCAATCATCAATATCTGATGGAAATCATGATGATATTTCAAATGAGGATGAAAATGAAGAGGACGAAGAAGAATCAGAGGATGGAGATGAATTAGATGAAAATGGTCAGAAAGAAAAGAAAAAGTCACGTCTTACATTCTCGAGTCGTAAGAGAACATTTACTCCTGCTATCAGACCATTCTTATCTCGTAGTAGACCGACGTTCAATCCAAAGAGAAAAGGTGCCCAAGGTGCCACTACGATTACTCGCACTGACATTACACCAACTATCACTGCAACATTAGCAGGAAGTAAAGGAAACCGTTTTGCCTCTTCTCGAGGAAGACCTGTTTCTTCAGTATCCCCTACGGCGTCTATCAATTCCTCTCGACGTTTCTCTGGACGTAGAAATCCTTCAAGCTCTATACCGGTAACGGCTTCGAGTGTACGTGGCAGAACATCAGGAAGGATTTCAGCATCACCAACATATTCTGTTGCTCGACGTGGACCAAGTTCCATTCGTGGTTCTTCAGCAAGGCCAGCTATCAGAGGATCGAGTTCAATTTATCCTGGAGCTTCTTCGAGGTTTAGAGGTGTCATCAGACCATCATCTACGCTAATCAAATCACTTCAGACAGCTAATCCATCTCAAATAGTAAAGTCAGACGATCAAGAAGATGAAGCAAATGAATTTACAGCAACAACTTTGGTAACTGAAGAAACTCCTTTCCCAACTAATTTCGATGACTTTGAAGAGACTGCTACAACGATTCCAGTGAAAACAACCACTGAATCTTCTAGGAGGTCTACAAATCCTCTTCTGAGATTTAGACGACCAGTAAATCTAACTCCAGCTTCTCGTGGAACTCCTCTACCAAGAAGAACAACTACAACTACTACTAAAGCTCCAGTATCTTCAAGGAATTCTAATGCTCGGTCTCTGAACTCTCCAACACTTCCTCCGTTTGCTCCAAGGTCTAGAACTAGCAATCGTTTATTTCCGCCGAGGAATTTTATTAATCAACGACAACCAGATCCAGTAGAAGGAGCAGAGAATGTTGACGAGACAGAAACTAATATTGAAGATGATAAATTAGTCGAAGAAATTATTGATAATGACTACGAAGGATCAGAAAATAATAAAAGACGTCGAGTTCCTTCAAGAACTGAAGTAACTTCTACAACACCTAGAGCTTATAGTAATAGATTCTATGCTCAACGAAGAAGATCAAAACGTCAAGCACCTGCTGTGCGACCTTATCAGCCTAATCGATATCGCAGACCACTTAGTAAATCTGCTGAAGATCGATCAGATGTAGATGTTTCAAGTTCTAATGATGAAGAATCAACAACAAAGACAAGTAATAGATACAGCAATGTCAGAGGGAGATCTTTATCGACTTCTAGACCACCAGCCAAAAGCAGTTTAGAAAAATATCAAAGTGATTCCGGTGAAATTTCTAATCCAAGAACAAGAAGACCAACAGCTCCAAAAGTAAAACCCACTCCTACTACACCATCATCTGGAAGACAATTTACTCTGCGAGAGAAGAATTTAACTTATAAAAGAACGTCTTCAAAGCAAGATACCACTAGGAGACCGAGTTCAAGAGTAAGAACTAGTGGAAGAAGGACAACAGAATCATCTTATGATGCACGACGTGGTACTACTTCAAGGTCATCCACGAGATCACGAACTAATAACAGAAGAGTATCACAGAGAGGTAGAGGAGGATCACGGGAAGATTTGTCAGGTTACTGGAAAGAAGATGGAACTATTACAGTAACTCATTATATTCCAACTGAAGTGACGATTCCTGTGGTGTCTAACGGTGCTACAGAATACAAGAACATCATCACACCCAGTCCTAGTGTTGAAGTTTTAGGTCCTGAGAAATATAATACAGTTACCGGGGGTGATGGACGTCCATTGGTGATCATAGCCAGTGAATCAAGTGGAGTAAATCATCTCGGTCAGACAGAAGTTACGCGATTCCTCCTTCATAGCACACCTACAAGTAGAGTATCTCATACACTGACAACCATTGGCGGGCGTCGCGTGTCTCAGTCGCTTATTGTTCCATCAACTGTTTATTCAGTGGAGAATGTGGTTTCAACTGTTCCACCATCAATAAATAATCAAAATTCACCTCTTGCAAATATTCTTTTGTCTCAATTGCTTCTTGGACAATTGGGCCAGCCAAATAATGTTCCAGCAGCAGATGCGACTCCAACAACTCAATATAAAACCCGAACAACAACTTACGTAACAACGATAACTAAAGAAAAAAGTACAGTAATTCCTTTGACATTTAGAGGCAAAGAAATTCTTACAACTCTTGTTGACTCTTCAACTAATGTTGTCACAGCTACAGAATTTATTACAGACACCGTGGTAGTTACTCCCACTGCTACACTTCCAACTGCAAACTTAAATTCACTACTTCTCCTTCTACAACAAACTCCTCAAGCTCCACAACAGCCTGTACAAGATCCTCTATTTGCTGCTGCGCCAATTTTTAGTCAAAGTAATTCACTTCCTGGTGAAACAGAACGAAAAAGCCAACCGGTAGATCTTGATTATCGTTCTGAAGATGAATCCTCAGCGTCAGCCGAAGAATTCGATAAGCCAGTGAAGTCTAAGGACAAATTGCGTAAGAAAGAAGCAATAGCAGAGAGTAGTGTTGTGACAATTTTTGTTTCTGGTAAAAGACCTGGAGAATTTAGTACAATTTTATCAACAGTTAAGGTCGGCGAGGAGTCAACAGCTTCAAGAAGAAGACGAGATCTCGTTGAAGAGGTACGACCATCAATTCCACCGTCTTTATATGGTCAACCAGAGGCTACCTCAGGTCTAAGTCCCAGTGAAGAATTTACGAGTGTGCACGCACCAACCCAGAGTCTTGAGAGCGTTGTGGGTGACGTCGGACGGCACATCTCCACGTCCATCCGTGTCTAATCCATCATCCCGTTAAATCCCTTCTCTTTTCATATCTATTTCATCTTTTTCCTTTTTCCCTCTACAAAATAGCTTGTACCAAAACCGAGCATTTTTTATTTCAGGTTCAGCGTTCAATTCTTTTGCTCATTTCATTATTTTTCATAAACGTTAATCTGAAATATAGGATGTTCGGTTTTCAATCAAGTGAATAGGAAGTAATTCCTTCCAGTTCCTCCAAAGATTCACGCCCATATTTTTTCTTTTTTTATATTTTTTTTTTTCTTCTTTTCTTATTCTTCCTCAACTCCTTTTTCAATTTTATACACTTAACTATTATTAATAGACAACAAAATACTGTTAAAATCCTCACTCCCATAATTCAAATCCTTTGACTGCCGCACGCGCCCACACGGTCAACGAAAACTCTCGGGTTATATATCGACCTGTGACAAGAAATTCACTAGCATTATTAATAATAATCATAATAGACAAAGAGGATAAAATGAAGTTATTACAACAACAGAACACACGAGACACGCTTTAATGCTGCGCTAAGCTTATTTTTTTAATAAAAACAATTTTAATGGTGATTGATAAGTCAATTTTTGACGAGAGAAACAAAGTAAGGATCGTCTTTTCAGATGATACTTATGGAGATATATTCTATGGACAAAAATATCCACAAAGAGTTCGTTCTGAAGATTACTTTGATGAACAACCTGAGGATTATGTTCAAGATAAACGTAGGAAAGTAATACGAGTACGTGTACCATCGTATGTATCTCGTGAAAACGCTGAGAGACAACACAAATACACTGTGGTTAGAAAAAGACCGCTTGTACACTATACAAAGTCCATAAATCCTGAGGAAGTTATTCCTGCTTCATCTACACCACGCAGAATTGTCATCACACGTGTTCGAAATCTTGGTGCTAGGTCTAGACAGTTTTTTGATGAAGACTTGTCTTATCCTGCACAGAGAACATATTCAAGGAAACACAAGGTCACAGTGACTCGAACTAGAAAGCTGAGACCAACTTTGAATGCAGAAATAACAAAGACACCAAGAACACGTGTGACGAGGAAGAAACTTGTCACAGTAAGACCAGTTATCACATCAACTCCAACGTACGCTATTATTACAACTGGTTTTTATGGAATTCCTAATGATGAAGATGAAGAGGTTGATGAAGATGAAGAAAAAATTGAAGAAAATACGGAAGATATAAAAAGTGAAATAGAAGAGTCGGAAAGAATATTACCGAGTATTGTAGGCTCGGTTAATAACATTGAAGATAGACCAGATATAGATGAAGTGGAGGAAGATGGAGATTTAGATCCTGCGAAGTTGGATTTAGACATCTCTGAAGAATTAACCACAACTAGCACTCCAGTTCCAATCATTATTACAGATAATTTTTTCTTTCCGGCATCATCTGAAGATGATGACAGTGAAACTGATGATGATGATGATGATCAGAATAGTGAAATGGAAAATGAAGAAGTAACCGTCAAAGAGGAGATTATTTCAACTACGGAAGAAAATGAAAATATAGAAGACGAAGGGGATGAGGAAAAAATTGAAGTTACAACAGAAAAAGAAGACTTTTCTGATAATGTCACAGAAAATCAAGAAATAAATACAACTGAGTCTTCACCAGTGACTGAAGAATCTCCTCCAGAAGATATTACAGTCACAGAATCATCACCACTAGAGTCTACTACAGTTGAAGAAGTAGAACAAATTACAATAAAAGAAGTTCTTCCAAAATCCGTTGAAGAAAAAATACCTGAAGAGCCTGTTGTAATTAAAAAAGAATTTACAACAGAAAAAATACTTGAGTCGACTACACCAAAAACAGAAACATCTTCCGAAGCTGCTGTAGATGACGTGAAAATACCAGAAGTTACTAAAGCAACGATCGAATCATCTTCTGAATCTACAACTCCAACCAGTACTACTACAAATGAAGTTATCTTGGAACCATCTTCTTCCACTACTCCGGAAGAAATAGACAAAACTTCTCTTATTCTGCCAAAAGATCCAGAAGAACAATTAAGTGTTGTACCTTTGGACGCTGAATTTATTTCATCATCAAATCTACCTTCTAAAGAACAATCAATAGCAACAATTGATATCATACCAAGTGTGATTCCTCTAGAATCATCAATGAGTGTGATTGAAGATCATCAGTCGACCTTCCAATCAACAGAAACTCTTAAAACTGAATCTTCAAGAACAACAACGACTCTAGTGGCTTCTCCAACTCCTGAAGAAATAGAAGCAGGTCTTTCAGACGAGTTGTATCTATCACTCTCGAGACCTGATTTCCCAGTGATATCTTCATCAAAAATAAAAGACGACAAAGACTCTGATGACTCTTCTAACTTGGATCCTCATTCCACTCCAACTATTATCTATACTGAGACAACTGTTACGTCTACTAGATTGCGGACTTATACTTACGTTGTGACAAAGTTAAATGGATTAGAAACACAAGTGACGTCTTCAACGACTGTCAGACCTCGCGTGACAACATTGACATTGACAGTACCTGTGACAATAGTACCTTCTTCTATCGACAAAGTGGAATCTATGCATCTTAGCACCATCTCTACTGCCTCAGGTCGGGAGCTCGGTGGTAAGTATACCCCCAAATCCTTAGGTCTCAAGGAATTGATACTTGATCAAGTTTATTTCCTTGAATCCTTAGATCCACAAAACCTCTATGATATTTCTTTGACAATTTTATTAAATCTTGAATTCTTTGTTCTTAAAATCTGTTGATTATTTCTGAGATTTATCTGTGTTGTAAAAATGTTTTCTGTACAAAGAATTTCTTTAATTTTATTTGAAAAGTTTTATTTTATTCTAAAAGTCTCAATTAATCTGATCTTTTCTACATGTTTAATCAACAATTGCTTAAATGTATATATTGTAAATTATGATGAAATTCTTTACTCTTGTGTTTTATTGTAAATAATTTCTTTAACTACTTATTCTTTGTGAAATAAAACAACAAAAATTAAAAGAAAATAAATTGAAAAAAGTTACAAGTTCCATAATAAATAAATTTAATGAAAAATATGCTAATAAATATATGGCCAGTTTTAATAAACATTCTGCTAATAACAGGACATGAATCAAGGCAGGAAGCAAAAATGATGGATGAAGATGCAGAGGGTGAAGGTAGAAGACTTAAACTAGCAACAAGAATTATGTCAAACGGGGTAGAAGTTATTGTGGCTGGTCCCACACCAGCATTGCGATGGGAAAATTCAAATCCTCAACCCACACTGACTCTCTCCGATGCAGTGGTAATGCTTATGCCGCAAGAAGATCCCAACGAATTTGTCACTAAAACTTGCACAACAACATTTACTTATTTAAATACAATCACTAAAGATGGAACAACTATTGTTTCCACTGATCAACAGGTAATTTTCTACATTATTTACGACATAATTTCCTTATCTCATACTACACCCATGCATGTACTAGATACAAGATTCATTTTCGTATGAGTTATTTGATATTTCAATCAACTTAAAAAACATAAAACAGCTAAAGGTTATGAACAATAGATATTTTCATAGTATTACAAGTATTTTACACATGTAATGTAGGCGAGAGTTGAAGTAAAAATGATCTTTATTATTTGAACTTTTTAATTCAAATTAAATTTTCAAAAAAAAGACTCAATAATTTTCTTCAGTTCATTGATTTTGCCTAAAACGAGTTAAATAAAAATTACCATCATAAATATCTAAATATTTTTAACTCGATTTATTCCTTTCAAAACGTGTCCTTTTTAAACTGCCTTTCTCTTATAAATAGCTTTTCTTATTCAAATATTGATCGCTTGGTTTTATTGAGTTAAATACTCAATAATTCTTCAGCTTATTAACTCCAAAAATAATTCTATATTGATGATAATCCAAAGAAAGAAAATTAATAAATAAACAAAAAAAAAATGCTCAAATAAATTGGTATGATCATTTATCACTGATGAATGACAGTTCAAAGTCGTTTGCATAATTTCGGACATTGACAGTAAATGCAAAAAAAATTCAATTCATAAGGTATTCCATCTGTGCATGCTAAGAACATTTATAAATCGACTATTCTTTAAGAAATACTAGTGACACGTGACTAAATTCCCATTATTCATCAAGGTCATCGCAAATACAGCAACAGAGGAACGCCATAGAAAGCCAGGATCAGAGTCGGCGGCAGTTACACTCGCAGCATCGCCCACCCTGAGAACTGAAGTATTCAAGACAACCTACACATACCTCACATTGAACACAGATCATCCGGATGCGGACAATGCCCTAAGTAGCAGTCAGAAAGTCATTACGAATACAGTGACGGCACCACAGCATTATTTAGACATGATTTTAGAACCTTCTGAAGCACCACCACCACAAACTAATACTTACCTTAGCACGAGGGTTCTTGAAAAAACATTTGTTGAAGATGGTGTTACCAAAATTGAAACTAGAAGTGATATGATAACAAGATTAATTATCACTGAATCTGTACCACCACCTCCACGTCCAACAAGTGTTACAACAACACTTACAGCTCTCGATGATCCAGAGGATACTCTCACAGACATTCTGAAAACACATTACATCACATATACTTATTATAATACTTATCTGGAGAAAGGTAGCAGTACTGTTGTACGTACAAACGTCGCAACTTCAACAGATGTTACAGTGGAGAAGGCTCCTAAGAAGACTGCAGTTATCGATACACAGGTGACGGCAACACCAAGCCCTGAGCCTATAAAAATATTTGCTACTAAGACATACTTGACGACGTTCACGTATTTTACCACGCTACTCCAGGTAAATTAATTATTCTTCGGTCTATAAATAAACAGTTATTCTTCTTTCATTTGAGGTTTTTATATTCTTTATTCTATTCTTTTTGTAGGCTGGTCCAGATGGTGAAACTTCAACAACAATTTCTTCAAGGTCTACTGTAGTAAAAAGTGTTGTAACGGAATCTATAGCACCAAGTTTACTTAATGCTGGATATATGAATCTTTTAACAACATCACATCATTCTGATTCAGTGAAAAATGTCGTCACGGGATCAACGATTATTTACTTTGATGAAGACGATCAAATAGATTCATCAAGTACTAGTACACAAATTCAACCAACAGTTTCGTTGGATTCTTCTGAAACTGCTATAGAACATTCTGAAATTACTTCTACTAATCCTTCGAATATGGAAGAGGCACAGAAAGATGAGCCTGAAAAGCAAACAAATGAACAAAATGCAGACTTAAGTACTAGCTCGTCATCTGTCGTTAATCATGAAGATTCTTCAGTTGCTGACAGTGATGTGGCTGAAACTAATGATGGATCTGATGGTTCTGTAGGAGGTGGTTTGTTGAATCTCGGCTCTTTAGGAATTAATAGTCTGTCGGCATTGGGACCTGTTATTACGGCAATGGCAGGTCTTTTACAAGGCAAACCATCTACTAATCGTCGTAATGACACTATAACTACCCCCTCTAGTCCACCAGTCGTTCATAGAGAACCCGCGGAAGTAACAACTCCAAGATCTCCAATTTACATTCCAGTGTCAGAATTTATTGATGGTGATATTGAAACAGCAGAGAGTCAAAATATTGCAGCACACTTGGTTAATCCAAATCCTAATTTTATTCCAGAAACAAGACATAAAGTAGCTGCAAGTATTGTTGATGGTATTCCAATATCTCCTGGTGAGGTAATCACTGCGAATAGTGATGTTATTATTGGTAAACCTGGTATTTTAGCTCCAAGACCACCTCAAACGTATCTTCAAAATGGAAATAATCAAAATTTTGGAATGAAGCCTCCACCAGTATCAGTACCAAATATACCTGTTCATCCTGTTTTAGAAGTATTAAAAGACGAAGAATTAACTGAACCAACAAGACAAGCTCAACATGTTTTGTATTCTCACCCTAAACGCCCACCTAAAATTCCAGGATTGTTTAGTAAAGAGCCAATAAAACCTCCTTTAAAACATGATCTCATAGATGATCCTTTACTCAAACCACCAAATCGACCGAATATTGACAAATATGCGAATCCAAATATTAATCCTAAAGAACCTGAATGGATTATTGATAGATTAAAACGACCTTGGAATTCTCATAAAGGTTTAGTACCTCCTCCAGTGCCTCCAACACCATCACGCGTTGATGATGGTTCTAACATGTACGGACAAGGTCCTAAACCGTGGCAAAATCGTCCAATTGAAGATTCTTATCGTCCTACTTGGGCACAAAATGATCAAATTATTACTGCAGTAAATCTTGAAGGTTCAGAAGTCAAGCCTGAACTCACAGAAGCGCCTGAACCAATAATTCATCAAGTTCCTCATGTCATAGACAGGTCAACGGGTCAGCCTTTGCTTGTAAATATTCAGCCAAGTCAAGTAGCGAACGTTGTTATACCTCAAGGAGGCACTCAAGCTTTGATATTTGGAGACACCAGTGAGCCCCATATTACTGGACAGTACTTTGATGATCCATCGCCTTATCCAGAGCATGACAGAAATCCTGGACAAATAAATTTTAATAGACCAGATAATAATCCAGCAAATTTTATTGTTCCACCTGCTCCTCCTTCTGTTAATTATAATAAACCACCTCAAAAATCTTATCCACATACCATTCCTATTTCTAATACTCGAGTTCATCAACAGTTTCCTCCATCTCATGATAAAATTGAAATCCCGGCGAATCGGCTGGACAAGAGACCATCAGAAATTCTCTTGATTCAACGACCGGAATCTCATAAACAATCAAGTCAAGGTCAAGTACACACGGAAATTTTAGTTCACTATTCACCAGATACAGAAAATGTTCATGGAAATGTTAGACCTCAATCAAATCCACATCAAGCTTCGTTTCCGCCTCCACGAAGAGATTATTACAAACCTACGCCGAATGAACAACTTCCACCACGAAGAACCGCTGACATTTCATCGCCTACGGACACTTCCAGCCATCATCGCTACAATTACCACCATGAAAAGCCAAACAGAACTCTCACAAATGATATCTTGAAGCAGAAATGGAAAAACGATAGAACGAAGCAAAGGATTACTGTAATTAGACCACGACCACCTCTAAGAAGACCTGTCCATTATTCTCATCCTGACAGAGCTCCAGGATATGGAACTAGATCAAAATATCCACCTTATCGACCTATGTCATCACATATACCGCAAGCTTCTCATCCACAACAGATTCCTATTAATTGGCAGGATGATACTAAAGTTGACAAACCCCCTAATAATCCTAATAATTTTCCAGAATCTCAAGATTCATTAGAAAATGTACCAACAGGAGCTATTGGTTATAGAAATCCGTTGATTGGAAATGCAAAAAGACCAATGTCTTCAATTCCAATGCAACCAACGAACTATCAACCTTCTCAAAATTCACCTCCTCAAAATCATCAAGTTTATCAGCTTCCCCCTGATGTGAGTCCACCAATAGTTCATAGTTTGGGAGAAATTCTTCCTCGTCCAGATGAACCAGATATTCCGTGGTCAGAAACACAAACCGAAGCAGGCCTTGATTCTACTGCTGAAGAGTCTGAAGAGAGTATCAAATATCATGAACATGCTCCGCAGCACCACAATGAGTATGAGACTTATATGATAGGACATCAACATGACCCAGAAGGTGTTGTAATTGGAGATGAAGTAGAAGAAGAAGAAGTTCAAAGTCAGAAAAATGATAATACAGAACAACCACAAAATACTGAATTTTCAAGTACAGTAATTACGCCTGTAACTGAAGAACCAGTTTCACAGGAAAATCAAACAGAAAAACTCCTTGAAAATCATAATAATTATCCTTCAATGAATATAGAGAGTCCATCAGTTATTTACGAAGATAACGTTGAAGTAGAAAGTCAAGAACATAAAGAATTCAATAAAGAAAAACCAGAATATGAAGTAACTGAAGATGAGTCTTTTGGAACTAAAATTCAAAAAACTGAAGAAAGACCTAATGAACATGATGAAATGAATTCAAATTCACCTGAAATAATTTCTCAGTTTGTCCCTGAGAAACCATTCGAGGTTAAACCTGTTCAAGAAATGATGCAAACTCCACCTTCAAGTCCTGAGCAACATCAAGAACAGCAAAACTATGGAGAGAGTCATTTGAATTTAAGTCCTCCAGGTGGTCATGCGCGACCTCATTCCAACACCTGGGGAGTTCCAGAGAAAGCGGACAATGAAAACAAATATTATTCTAACAAGAGGAACTTGACAATAATTCAACCAACATATTCTCACGGTAATTCAAATTTTAATTATGTAAATACAGAAATAATTCGCACTGAAACAACAACACCCGCAGCGGGTACTCGAGTTCATCCAGCATATCCACACATTCTCACTAAACCAAGACCTGTAGTACCGGGCCCAATTACAATTTCCACAGGGTCTTCGAAGGTGAGATTGTCCGCTAAGAATAAAACAAACAATGAAGTGTCATTACAACCTGAAAGAACAAGAATAACAATGCGTCCGATAATTATTCATACTAAAGATAAAAATAAAGAAACGTTAGAAACTGCATTTCAAACTAACTTCGCTACTCATGAAGACGAAGAGAATGTTTCTAATGTAAACAGGAAACCTATTAAACCAGAAGCTGGTTCTAGAGTGCCTTCAAGAGATATGATGCCTCCACCTCCAACTATGACGGTCCTTAGAGACAGAATAAGTAATAATGATGGAGAAGCTGATTTAAAACCTCCTCCAATACCGGCAGATGTCGTTGGAATGTCACCACCTCCAGTAGATATAACTACTACAACTAGAAGACCAATTGTCAATACTGTGAATGAATTAGGTCTGAGACCACCACCACCAAACTATATTCCTCTAGATACTTCAACAGTTGTAGGAGAGACTCCTCCACCACCTCGACCGCCACCGCCATCATTACCAAAACCTTCAAAACCTTTCTTGGTGGAATTACTTTCTCAGGATATGGTACCACCTAGACCTCCGGTTATTGAAAGTTCTAGGCCAATTGAAATTGCTACTGGTAGACCTGCTATTGCAGTGTCTGGGTCAATTCAAATTGCAACCGCTGTCGCAACTAGTCATATTCCAGTAATGCAAGATATTGTAGAGTCTACTATTCCAATCATTCATGGTACTGTTGATCTCCCTGTCATGATGGATGTATCAGAGATCATTAGGTCTTCGGAAACTAGAAAGCCGGAACACGTGAGCGTCTATACTGTTAGACCGTTTGAAACGAGACCAGTCTTAAGGTAACGTGCAATTTTACATTGATTATAATGTATGAAAGAATTGGTAGAAAATTATTAATGATTCTATAATAATGATTCATAGGATGAGAACAGGAAAATAATTTTATATACAATGACGAATTAGATTATGTTAATTAAAATTAAAAAGCCATAGTTAATAGCCCATTTTAAAAAATTATCATACAGATATAATTTTAATTTTAGAATTCTTTGATAAATAAATCCCTTCCACTTGGTTGCTCAATTAGAAAGAAAATTATAATTAAATTACGTATTTATCTAACTCGTTCAAGCACCATGAAATTAATGAGATTATAAGATCACTGAATTGATTCTATCATTCTTTGACATTTTTTCTTACATCCTTAATTATAATTTCACATATATTTTTTGCAGAGTATCTGTTCAACCAACAACCATAGTTTCTACAAGTCTAATAATGCCAACACGGGTCAAATTCACCCATATCTATTCAACTAGCACACAAACACGTACTCCAGTTCGAACCAAAGTTACGTCTCAAGAAACCGTGAAAAAACCTTCAGTAATACTAGAAGCAAGTCGTCAAAGTATTCCTGTTACTAAGTTGAACTCAACACAATCGTTGAACTACAAACCACATACAATTAAGCAGAGTATCAATCCAACTGATGTACAACTTACTACAACAACAAGGCGTAAATACGGTAGTTCTACGACGAAAGTTCAAAGTTCAATTATTAAAACAATGAAAGAGGTTACTGTAAAACCGACAACTCATGAAAAGATACGAAATGTCACAAGTTCTATTACTCCTCTAGAAATAAAACCTAAAGCTGTGACTCATTTCAAGACTTTGACAGTCACTAGGACAGAAACATCAGTTGTAGGATCTCCACCGACAACAAGAACACTGTTGCTTACCCATACTTTAACATCAACCATTGTAGAAACAGTGACAGAAACTTTACTACGGCCTACTAATGTTATAATAACATCAGTTACAACAATTCTTCAACCAGCTACTCGTTTGCCAACTTATGAAAATTCTCCCGACAACATGGATTCAATATTTGTAGTAATGAGTGATCAGAATCCTCCAGCAGTAGGTGCTGAAGAAGTCGAAGCAGAATATGGAACGGATGAAGAAGTTTCTCGTGATGAGCAAGATCCTGCTGGTAATGAAATCCATCGAGTATTATCTGGAAGTATTTTAGGTGCTTCAATAGTTCCGCATTGGTCAACAACGCCTCAATGTCAACCAGAATGTAAATCAGTCAAAGCTGAGGTATGCGCTCAAGTCGGTGGAGAAGCAAGATGTATCTGTCAACCAGGATTTGCTCGAATGTTTCCAGATCGACCTTGTAAGCCAACTTACACCTACACTGTTCGTGTTGGTCTCGACCGTATTGGTAGGGAATCGATCAGATATAGTCAGGGAATGAATAATGCAACATCGCCTGTATTTAAAAAACTTTCTGGTCCTATTAAAGAGGCTCTTGACAGGACTTTAATGCAAAGTGATTTGAGAGATATCTATAGAGATCTAAATATTGTCAAATTCCATCCAAATCCTATGCAAGTTGAGTTCCATGTACAGTTTACTGACAATACTAATGAAACAAAATTGAAAGAAGTGCTACAGAAATATGTAATTAGTAGTAACTATAGCTTAGGAGGAACTGAAGTTTATGCATCTAACGATTTGGATACTATTGATGCCCGAGATTTTGATGAGTGTTCAACTGAAGAAGGTGGACCTTATCATGACTGCTCACCATATGCAACTTGTTTTAATCTTCATGGGTCTTATCAATGTTCCTGTCAAGAAGGTTGGGCTGATCTCTCCGAAAATTCTGCATACCCTGGACGGATCTGTTCTCAAGCACCGCTTGGCTGTACCAGTTGCAATAATAAGGGCCATTGCGTAGTCAATTCTCACGGTCAAGAAGTTTGCGAGTGTTTCCCCTGGCACAGTGGTCAACGGTGCCAAGTCAACTTAAAAGGTAAAGTATTCGAATAAAAATACTATCAGTGAAAGTTAAAAGATATTTATTGATGAATTAATCAATATATTATATTTATAGTCTTGCTGATTGCTCTCGTAACAACTGGAGCTATTCTGCTGGGACTTCTTGGAGTATGCTTGGCACTCGCATGCCATCGGCATCCAGGAAAGAAAGGAAAATCAAGTGATAGAAGAGCTATGATTGCTACAGGAACCGGAGGTGATACTAGTAGTGAAGGAAGTGCAGCAGACTTAGCTATTCCTCATCACGTGCCTCATGTACTCCCTCCACCTCCAAGATCGGCAGCACCACTTCCGCCAGGCACCAAGAGACCTCGAAAAGCTACTAAACAGTATCGAACTTCAAAGAAACCTTATGCAGGACCGTCAGGTAAATTAAGTTGTGATTTATCAATGTTCTAGTTGATTAAAAATAATACTACATTTACAAAGTAATGATTTATTTAATAAATACTGTTCGTTATGAAAGAGTTTTTAAAATGATTCAGAGTAGAAATTTCATCTTACTTAATAAGAGAAAATTATACAACTAATTTTCATCATGTATTATATTAATAATCAACTAGTAGAAAACAATTTTACATGAAAGCAATTATATAATTATGAAAGTTCTTAGGCTCATTATAATTACAACTGAATCATAACTAAACGTAATGGTTTATGTTTCAGGAACTGAAGTAACAGATCCAGAACGTTCTCTAAGTGTAATGATTCCTCGAGCAAAGTATCGATCAGGACCTCATTCACCACAGAATTACTCAAAACCGCCTATGAGTACTTTTGCGGCTGAAGAACACAAGCTCATTAATTATCTTGAGGGAGGTCAAGCGAATAATAATAGTAATCGAAAAGCGAGTGTCATTAGCACGACTAAAGAATATGTCAAGAGTTATGAAGAGACTGGTATTAGAGTTGCGAGGAATCCCGCACCAAATAATGGTGCTCTTGTTAGTGCTGGTTTTCAGGTAAAAAATGGAGCAATAATAATAATACAATAGTTCAATGAGTAAAAAAAATTTTGATAATAAATTATTTTTATAAATTTTAGGTTTCAGCAACTGTAATGAAAACTGTTGATGGTGATTCAACCTTAGATGATACTTTTGAACCATCAACATTGAAAACACTCCGAAGTACCACAGACTTTCAAGATGGCACGTCAACTTTAGCTCGATCTTGCGATGCAACAACAATTCAAGCAACAACAGAACTTTTACCTTTAGATTTAGCTGAGGAAAACTCAAGTGTTGGTCGCTCGTATGCTGGAGATACATCAATCAAACAGCAGACTCCAAGTCGAGGATCAAAAGACACTCGAGATGCGAGAGATAGTGCGAGTGAAGGTCCGATTACTGCTGAAAGAGATTTAGGTAGCACTCTTCGACTTCGACATACACCTTTATATAATCCAGACCGAGCAGTAAGTATTACTTTGTTTCTTTTTTTGAACAAGTTCCAGTTAATAAACAAATATATAAATACATTTTTTGTTTTAGGCCAGTGATCGTGACTCCAATTTCGATTCATTATAAAAATAGAGTTTTACTATAACTTGAAATTCGTTGTTGCCAAATATTTTAAAAAATGTGTCGTATTTGTTGAAACGTGCTCTCGTACGTGCGTAAAATCGCAAGGTTTCGAGATGCAAGCCATATAATGAAAATGATCGTGCCAGTCACTATTTCATCATTTTCTCATTTTATAAAAGTTGATAAAATGAAATATTAATTGTCTTTACATGATGTGTCGATTTATTTATTTATATTATTATAAAAAAAATGATAAATCTACATCCATACGTATATATGAATAGACAATTTGATAATTTATTTTTAATTCATTGATAAGATCAATTATAAATAGAAAAATAAGATAAAAATATTTGTCGTGCCAAAAAGTTTTTTAATTATCAAATTTTATGTTTGATTGAATTATATGAAAAAAAATTATGTTAAAAAATTATATGTCGTTTATAATTCGTAGAATCAGGAAAATACAAAAATTTCATTGTATTTTTTGAGTCATTTCCATGTTGCTCAGCTTCGTTATATCAATTTCTATCTAAATTAAAATTTAAAAAAATGAAGCCGTGCAACGTTGCAAAATACGACTCATTGAATTGTGGGTAGTCGTGCAAATATTCATTAATTTATTTATAATTGAAAGAAAATTGTTAATTAAATTAATTGAAGTACTTTTTGTATCGTTGAGAACAAAAAGATTAATATGGGAGTTGTCTGAAGGAATATGTTATATTAAAAGTAATTGTATTAACATAAAATAACATTATAATTACATACATGTCTAATTACTATCGAAAGTCTCCACATGTATTTTTATATACATTTACAAAATGTCTAAACAAAAAATTATTCATACTAACTTATTCATGCCCAAACTTAAATTAAAATTATATAAATATATATATATATATATATACATACATAACATTGTCATTCAGTGCAACATATACTACTGTAATATGTACGTACTGTGAAATGCGTATATAATTATGTATGCATAGTTGTGTCTATTGTACATATTGCCTTCTCTCAATCTTTATTACTTCGTAAATATTGTATTTTTGTATAATTTTTAGTCTAGCCGTGTACTTATGTATACCTTAATAATAAAACTAGATGATAAAACTGTTGTAATCTAATTTTAAATTATTTCAATTTATTGCCAAGTCATTGATAAGATAATAGAATTTTTCAAAGTAATTATAAAATTTCGAATATAAAGTAAATGAATGAAATAAAAATAAAAATATTATTTTAGTGAAATATATTCAATGTAATATTTATCAAATGTTCATTGTATTGAAAGTGATCCATTAATAATTGTTTTTTTTTACTATATATTAGAATACTAAATATGATGGATGATTTGGATCAAAATCTCGCTGATATAAGTCCATCATTGGATGTTTGTCAAACTTTCGAAGAAGAAGATCTTCGTGAGACTTGTAAAAGTATAATTATAAATTTTAAAAACAATTTAAATAATGCAACGATACAAATAGTGAGAAATCTTCTAACTGAATGGAATCGTGCATTGCCACTGGATCTAACTTTATCAACACCTAAAGTGAGTAGACGAAAAAGTGAACTTGAGGAAGATTTGCTCAATATCTTTGATCTTTTCATGAAAAGATGTATAACGAAAGTATTAAAAATCATTAATGATTTACCGAAAATAAGTCAAGTACGTCGAGATTATAATTTAAAATTAACTAGTTACAATGAAACACTTCGAGCTCATATTCTAAATGAGTCTGATTCAACCAAAAGGGCATTAATTGACTTAGAAAGAGATAAAGATGATTTAAGAATTTACCATAACGAATTACTTGTCGATCACAATAGTAGCGTTCTGAATTTACAACTTGAATTAGATAATTTTAAGCAAGGCATCGTTTTCGATCAAAACAACATGATACTATTATATGAAAAGATAAATGATTTCAGAAGTCTTTATACATTTCCAGGAGAAACACTAGAGCAGAAGTTTGCAAGAGATAAGGAATTCAATTCTTGGAAAGAAATGTTAAAATTACCGAGCAATTGGTTTGAAGAAATTGGAACTCCTCAACCAGAAATTCCTGGATATGTAGGCTTTGATCCTGCAAGTATGAGGGTTCCATCTCATATTGATCCATCGAGTGTACCTTCAACATCCGCTCGTCAAGAAATCGTGCCACCTCCATCTAGTGAGAGAGAATTTAACGTATCTTCTCCTGATTTGAGTGGAATAAATATACCTTCTCCATCAAGGTTGGATCAAATTGATATACCTGCTCCATCAGTTCAGCCATCGGCATATGTAGAATCTCCAACATATACTGCTAGTTCAGGAATGCCAGAATTAGAGACTGACATGTTTGCTCCATCAGTTCAGCCATCGGCATATGTAGAATCTCCAACATATACTGCTAGTTCAGAAATGCCAGAATTAGAGACTGACATGTTTGCTCCATCAGCTCAGCGATCAGCATATGTAGAATCTCCAACATATACTGCTAGTTCAGGAATGCCAGAATTAGAGACTGACATGTTTGCTCCATCAGCTCAGCGATCAGCATATGTACAATCTCCACATGCTGCAAGTTCAGAATCATCACAATTGTCTCGTGAATTTGATAGATTTCGACCCAGGAGCACAATTGGAGATACTCCACTACATCGTAAACATATAGATAATGAAAACTTACTTCGTCGTATTAAGAGTTCTTATTGGAAAATTCGTAATGAAATTGAATTTTATACAAGAATCGATCCATTTACGACTGAATATCAAGAAATTCAAGAGTTAAATACGACAATTCAAAACTTATCAAGAGAATGGAGAACCATTCAAGTAACTGAGCAAGATGATTCAACAAGACAAAATGAAGAAACTAGAGATCGTGAAAGAGATGAAAGAAGGGATGAAGAAAGAATAAGGCATCCAACTGCAGAACGAACGTCAATAAGATTAGTGGAAAAAATGTACAATGAATTTAAAGAAGCTATAAATAATTTTAGAAGTTATTTAGCAAGTTTTGATAGTGATTTGAACAAAATCCAGGAATTACAGACATCATTAAACTATTTATATGAAGAACTAAACACAGATAGTAATAATGAACAATTACCAGCCGCCGAAGAGATAATTCATAATGAATTGGTGGTATTACGAAAAAAGATTAATCGAATGAAATCCGAAACCAAGAGGTTGCGAGCTATTATATTTGAGAAGAGAGTAGCTTTATCGAATACATTGCAAAAACTGCGTCAAAATTTACTACAAAGAAAGGCCAGATTAGATAGAATAATTGAACACTCACAAAGTGCTAGAGGATAATAATCACCACAACTATTTAATATATGTTATGAATCCAAATATTTTTGAAACATTTGATCAATTTAGAAAAATTGCTAAATTTGACATTCCTAAATTGTTTTTTCATGCATTAAAAATATGCCCTAATAACCAGTCCCGACATAAGAATTTTTGTCAAACTTACCTAAATCTGTTTACATTCTGCATGAGATTGCCATTCATAATCTGACGTTGAATTTCGTGACGACAATCTTAGGTTTATTTGTTTCAGAAAAGCGGCTTCATAATAACTCTGCTATTGTGTTCTAGACTTGTCCAATATATTCGATGACAATAAAAAATTTATGATGTATGACTCAGTCTGACTCATATAATATTTTTAAAATATACCGATCAATGAACACTTTAAAAAATAAACTTTTTTCTATCAAACCGACATGGAACATCCAAATATTGTTATTTTAGCTGAAATAGTTAAAAAAATCTTGATGAAAATTCCTCAACGCTCACAATTAGTTAAACTTCAACAAGTTTCGAAAGTGTGGAAGCAAGAATGTGAAGCAATTTTAAAATCTTTAGAGTGGGAAACATTTTGTAAAAAGAATATTGATGAATTTTCATTATGTTCAGTCATAACGACTACCTATTTAAAAATGCAAATAAAAGGTTATTACAGTATTGGTGATCAAAAATTGTGGAAAACTATCTTTGATTGTTGTGGAAATTGGCACCAGATGTATGATGATAAATTATACATACTTTCAACAGACAATAAATGGACTCCTAATTTTCTAGGAGACAAAGATGAGTTTATTACATGTTTGGATGTATGGTGTAAGAATAATTCTTTTAAGTGTTTCAAACTAAAAGGATAAATATCAATTGAATAAATAATAATTAAAACTATCTACTTAGCTTCTTTCATAGCAATTGGTTCAAATCAAGGCAATGTTTTTCTATTTGATGCCGATATGATGATCAATCCATTTATTATAATTCCATCACCAAGAGATTTTGTGAAAATTGTGAAATTTTGGTACACTGGTAAAAATACTATATAATCAGTCTACATCACAATAACTTGATAGTCAATTCAGTATCACATTTTAAATATTAGTTCATTGGTTTAAAATGAAAAACTATTTTTCAGAGCATGGAAAACTGTTGTTGATCCGTTCATACATACACACAAGTCGTCAGGTCTCATTAAAATTTTGGGATGTCAATAGAAGAATGGAAGTTAATACTCTCAAACAAAATTTTGCAACAAAAGCTCTTTGGTAATAATGAAAATTTTCTTTTATAGGCACAAATCAATTCTTGAAACTTTATTTTTTTAATTTATCATTTACAGTGTAGGTACAGCAAACTATTTTTATGGAACAGCGGCATTGTACTTTTTCAGATGCACGCCATCATCATGTTATAATAAAGAATTGTTGACATCTTATTATTACCTATCTATGCAAGATTCTCAAAGTGTTAGAGCAATGACCTCTTTCGGATCGATGGTAAGAAAACAATTTAACTTAATCAGTTGCATGGAGTTTATTTATAGTCATTATGTAAATTATCAATTTCAGACATATGTGTTGGTTACCGGTAGGTCGTCGATAAAAATTTTTACCATTAAAGATACATTTGATATGAAGAAAAAGAGTTCCCTAGAGATACAAACACCACGTCGTCTACCAAATTTATCAGAAAAAATGACTGCAGACACACGATTTTATGTGTTTGAAGATGAAACAGTTATTTGTATAGGCCGTAAGTTCATGTAATATATATTTAATATGTTTGAAATTTATTTTTTAAAATGTTTTTTCAGAAAATCTGTTATATTTCATCATCAAAAATTCAAAATGTTGGATATCACACAACATGGAAGCGACATTTCGTCGGAAAGTAACGTCTGTTATGTATCATGCAGATCTTTTACTGATTGGTCTAGATCAAGGTACTAAAGAAACGCATATTAAAATTTAAACAAAATTGTTAATAATAATTTTCATTATAGGGATATTATACATGTATCATGTAAACAGATCTAGAGAATTCAATTCATTTGATTTCTTTAAAAATTCAGTACCAAGAATTATTAATTTTCAATGTGATACACCAATTGTTGATTTTGCAGTAAGTCAACTATCTGAAAATCCAATCATCATAGCAGCTTCTGAGAAAAAAATATGGAAAATATGTTCCTTAGAAATAACATCACCTTATCGTGAAATTGTTCGAATAGAAGGATTAAATCATTTTTATAAATAATTTGTAATACAGATGTTCATAGATAAACATTTATATAGAAAATTAATTTTGAGTTATGAAGTGTAAATACATTGGAATAATTCAGAATTATATTGTAGGATTAATTTTATTATAATTATAATTGTTAAAAATGTAATAATAATTTATACTTTCAACTCATTTTAATTGTTTTATTTTTTATTATGTATCAATAAAATTTTTGTAAAATATCGAACATAAAAAAGAATTTGTCTTCACAAAATCAAATTTGAAAAAGCGCGGCCATTTACACATAACGACCTCTGTTGTTTAGAATTTAGACATACTTTAATTCTCAATCGGTAATCACAATAATTCGAGAGACGATATGAATATTGAAATTCAGTGATTTTTAAACAATTGTTACAAGATTTTTCTAAAATTCCTATTAAAACTCAAAGATATATTTTTATTTAAATATTAGAATATTACTGAGTGATATTTGTGGTGAAATTTAATTTGTATGCTTAGATCACTGTTTGTTGAGTATAAAACTTTAACCTCCAAGTAAGATTTATTTTATGATTCAATAAATTGCATTTACTATTTAACAAAATAGAATTAGTAAAAATCAACATTTTAAAAAATGTATTCATTCAGTTAATATTTATTTTACTATCTTCTATTTTACTGACAACGTGTTTTAGTGTTAACATATTATTAATACTTACCGGCTCACTGGTACAAAACTCAATCAACTCTATTTAAGAATAATTGAAAATAAAGAGGATTGTCAGTAATGTCGAAAGTGAATAAATTGAAATTAGCCAAAAAAGCCGCTGAAAAGATAGTCCATGGTGACAGACTTACGACTTATATTCCCGCGGGATTAGCATCAGCACAGCCTCCTTTGGGATCCCAACTCGGACAGGTAAAATTTGTGATAAATAATTTAATTACACTATTCACTCATTCTCATTAACTTGATATGTATTTACAGAGAAATCTAAATATAGCTGCTTTTATAAAAGATTTTAACGAAAGAACTGCTCATATTAAGGAAGGTATTCCATTGCCATGTCGCATAAAAATAAAACCTGATCGAAGTTATGAATTAGTAATTCATCAACCTCCATCAACTTATTACCTTAAACAAGCTGCTGGTATTCAAAGAGGCGCTATCAATTCAAGTATCTAATTTCATGATAAATAATATAATGAAAATGTACTAAAGAAACAAATAATCACAATGGTTAATTTTATTGTTGTAGAAACGGAAGTCGCTGGTATGATTACTTTGAAACATCTGTATGAAATTGCTAAAATAAAATCACAAGATCCACCCTTAGCTATGATGAGTTTGAAACAGATAACTGAAATGTTAGTAGGAACTGCTAAGACAATTGGCATTAAAATTGTCAGAGAATTAGATCCTGATGAACTTGGTAAATTTTTGGAAGAAAGAGCGATTATTGATGCTCAACAAAGAGCAGCCATAGAGGAAGCTAAAGAAGCCAAGAAACTTAGGACAGTTTAATAATTCTTTGTATACCAATTGAATAGATTACAGATTATAGTATGTTTTTTTACATGATAAAATTGTTTCTCTATTGATTATCAGCTATTAGCATAATAAATAAATGCATGGGTGTATACATTTTTTGGTTTTTGAATGAATCAAACCATAAATTAAATCGTTAAAAATTAACTGTGAGTAGAGTAAAATATGAAATTAAGTATTTTTATATCGGTTTTTTATTTATATGTTTCATGTTGAACGATCTACATCATAAAGTAACGTTTAATAGATAGATAATATTTTATATTATTAATCAAAGTCAAAGAATTATTAATAAGATTGAAGCTCACTTCATTTCGATAGAAATATTTTATTAGTTCAGTGACGGAATTCCAGTGGCACATTCATGATAGCCGAATTGATTGCAGCAACACACATTTTTGGTACCAGTGCATTGATTATCAGATTGACATTTATCTACTTTACTGAGTCCAACATCTACTTTGCGTGGACAATGAAAACCTTGATTATGAAAAATAAATATTATAAAAATTTTACATAAAAATTATCACTATCATGAATAACAAAACAGTTTTATTACCTCCGTGATCAGCTATAGCATTATTGATACATAATGATAACAGCACCAAGATAAATACCACTGTTATCTTCTCTGTGAGGGGAAAAAATACCATTAATATTTAAACAATTTTAAATTTTTATAAAGTAATTTAGGTATAAATATTCATTTATAAGAGATAATTGTACTTACGATTCATGGTGAAATTTTTGTTAAGTTTAATAAGTTTCTGTAGATACTGATTTTCTGAAATCAATGATAATTGACTACACCTTTTCGAACGTGGACTCAACTTTTATATTAGATCTTATTAAAAATATAAAATTATGTACTATAGCGCCCCTAAAAAATATAAATTTTAATAAAAATAATAACAAAGAGCTAGTGACATTGAAAAGTTATCACAATAAATAAATTTGCAAAAACAATATTGAAAGAAAAAAAAATGTAAGCTACATTTTTTTTCTATAAATCATGTATTGTCTGGTAACTTTTCATTTCAGTTTTTATTATGTAGCTTACATAACTGAAAAAAAAATTGAAAATAAATATCGAAAAAGAATTTAAAAAATAGCTTTAATGTAGAAAAAAAAAATATAAAAATCCATGAATCATCAATTTTATTAAATTTTTTTGTTTTTATGACTTTTACAATATTTCTAGGTTTATATTTTTATTGAGCGTTAAAATTTATGTATATTATGATAATTTTTTATTATAAGATAGAATCCATATAAAAATCAACTTTGGCAAGTAAAAATACACAATCAATTTTGTTCATCGAACTCAGTACGAAGTAAGAAAGAAACTCTTTCAAAAAAATCTGAAAATATATCAAACCATGGCAGGTAAATATAATTTTTCATAATTTTATCATTTGATTTATTGTTAATTAATTAAATATGTAATATTAATGCAAATTCATTTATTGAGCATTAGATAAGATTCTTGCATGTGTATAATTTTTCTAATTTTGTCATATAGGAAAAGAAATGATCTTTATTGCAGCTTTATTCATTGTTGTACAATCCACTCCGCGTTTTTGTACGTATTACTATTATTACATATTTATTGTGTTTAGAGAAAATGTTCACTAAATTTTTTATTCACAGCGAGCTTTGATGATCTTAGCTGTCCATCAACATTCAGTTTAAAGACATCAGTCAAGAAAAACGAATGTACTAAAAAAGAAGATTGTCATCGTGCTAGATACGTTTGCTGTGAAAATCAAGAGAAAGTGAACGTATGTGCAGAAGGAGTCTTTTCCCCATCAAATAATAATCTTGATACAAACAAAAAAGCTACAGTTGAATCTAAATCTATGAACAATCCAGATAAATCAATTCCAGTCCCAACAGAATCTACTAACGGTGATGATGATGTAGAAGATGATGTAGATGATGATTAGTTAGCATGCGTATATGCGTATAGCAATAATATTGTTGCTAAAATAACTAGTTACATTACATTAATTATTAAAATAGCATTTTGAATTATATATCAATAATCATTATGGTATGAAGTGGACAATAATAAAAAAACAATTATTCTGAAATATACTTTGATCTTTATTTAATGCAAAAAATATAACCAGTCGATTGTATTTAAATTTAAATTTATTTGTAAAGTATAGATCATTGATTATTTATTATAAAGGTTGAAAAATAGAATCATAACTATATTGGATTGGGTTTTTTTTATTATTTCAATGATTTCAAATTATTTGAGACATTTTGAATCTTATATTGATTTATTATGTTCATTTTTTATAATTCGCTGAATTGTTTATTTTTTATGCTATTCTGTTGAAAAAATTCATCATTCATTAATTAATTAATTTATTAATTCTCTTCAGATTTATTTACTGATCAAAATGATTTTTTTATGCTATTATTGTGCAATAATACTTTGTATTGTTGTTTTTAATAATAATAATAATAATATACATTCAAGATAAAGAATATGTACTTTCAATTGTTTTCAGTTATAAAATCTTAATATTCAATTTTTTAAATCAATAATCTGTCAATTTTTATGACGATAATGTAAAGACTGAAAGATATTAATGTCCAATTGTAAATTTAACTCTAAAAAATCTTTAAAAAGAGTGTATATGCATAATTGAGAAATTTTTTAATATTTGTTCAACTTATCATTAATGATTCAACAAAGTTAATTGTGATCAATGAGCAACTAACAAGATTTTTGTATGCTATATCATTTATAAAAGCTATAGTTTTCAGTCAACTTTAAAAAAAATAAACAATTGAGTAAAAACGTTAAAATTATTTCACCATAATTTCATTACTCTGGATTTCTTAGAGACTTTAAAATTCAGAAGTATAAACAAAATTAGTAATCTAGAAATGTGTCATAAATTTGTCTATTGAAAAAAAAATTTTAATAAAGTATCTCATCAACGAAACCTTGATATTGAATTTTCAAATACAGTAATTTGATCAATTATAAAAACTACTTACGAAAAGCAGATAAGATTGTGAATCGTGATTTGAGATATGCGTTTTGAATGAATAAAGCGTTGATGTAAATGAACGATCAACAGAATAATTGACTCAAATGTAAGTTTTTCATGATTCAATGTCTGAATTATTTGTAAATTTCAATCATTTACTCATCAAGCTAGTTTTTTATGTAAATATATATCGTTCACAATTTTTATTATTTTAAATATAATTCTGATCCCAAAACATTACTAATAAATTGGATTAAATTAATTGATAATTTAATCTGACTCTAATAGTTTAAGTTAAAGCTATATCCATAAATTATCTTCTTTGTTTTGTGTAAAGTATTCTATTGCTGATTTATAAATAGATAATAAAAATTTTACAAATACTTTTGAATTGTTTTCGATTTTAATAATAATAATAATAGCTGATGTTAATATGTTCTGTAAAATATATTACTGAAAATTATTAATGATTTTATATGTTTAGACTAATAGTGTTTATGTCGTCTAATCATTTGATATTAATTTTTTTTTGATTGCAATTAAAAAAAATTTTTGTGATAATTAAAATTTGGAATGTACTTTTTGAATTTTTTCAGTTTCATCATGTTTTTAATAGTCTTTTTGTAGATGTTTTGAAGAAGATTTATCTGAAAAAATCAAAATTTTTTATTGTAACTATCATACTTCATTATTTTTTATTTTGAACTGTTGTACTTTTTTTCAAATGTATCATTGAATAGAAATTTTGCGGTTATCAAATCAAGACTTTTCTTCTATTGTCTGATAAAAACGTTTTGATATCTTCTTAACTATCTATCTATACTGTCTTTGGCATGTGCTACAGAATAATATCATATACATCAAATACTATGATCACAGATTTCATTCATATCACAAAAAGTCTAAATTTGGAGAAACACCTTCAAGTTCTTTTGATCTTCTTTAAAGTCATGGTCAAGTGTTCAATGAAAATTTGTCGTTAATAATCAATCTTATGCATCACTTTCTTGACGATTATCACAGTTTTCACACTATTTATTGCAACAGTTGTTGTATTTTTATTTCTTTCATTCATTCTAATATTCCTTTTTCTTATATTTATTGTATATATTTATTTTCTATCATTTTTCCGTTTGATACTTTCATTTAAAAATCTTTCGTAAAGATTCATATGATTGACTTCTTATTTATATTGGAGACAGCTCGATAGTTTTATTCTGTGAATTGATATTACGTTCAGTAACGTTCGTTGTTCAGTCAAAGTCAATTAAATAAACTTTGTGGATTAAGTGCATGTTAATGCAAATCATGAGTGTAATTTTTTTAATTGTAAACTGTTGAATTTTCCTTTTCTTGCCTAAATAGTGAACTGTATAAAACAAGGTGCAACGTAGTTATGGAAGTGAATTAGAAAAATATAAGTGCTTATTTATCTGAGATTCGCGAATCAGCCTCGATTGTCTTGTTCATCGTAATAAGTTTAAATAATTTCTTCAATAATCGAGTCTCTGAAAAGAATCGAAATCTATCAATTCATTTCTTTTTTTTAAATAAGCAATTCTAGAAGAATATCATTTAATCAAATCTATTTATTTAATAATCGTATGTCTCCTTTCGCTTGAATAATTTCTATGGTATTGAAAAAGGTATTTTTCAATAATATGATATGAATTCATTAATTGGGAAATTCTATACATCCTTTTACTCTAAATAGTTTGATCTACTATTTATCAAATTCTTGTAAATTGATTCAAATTGATTAATATATTCAAACCATTTGGTTTTTTTTTTTAGAAGAAATTATTAAACTGTTAATTTTTTATCGAAATAGATTTCTCTTATTTCATTATTCTTCGTAATTTCAATCACTATTTTCTCTAGAACTTGTGTTCATCGTTTCATCATTTAATGTAATCATGATAATGATCATTCTAGTAAAGGAAAAAGAGAATAGGCTAATATGGTGATTGTTTGATTGACTCGCATAGCGAATTTGTCAACGATTCGTGAAGATCATGAATTAATTTGGATGATATTTTTCATTTCGAGAAAATATAGATAATTTAAAAATTATCACGTTTTATTTATGGTATTTTATAAGGTCCCACGTTGAGTCCCTCCAGTCTTCGATGGCCCCAATCTCCATGTCCCACGTTGTGAACCCGGTTGAAGTCCCACGAAGAAGGTCCACCAGGTTCCACTAAGAGCCATCATGAATCCTCTTCTTCATCCCACGATGCCGGGTTCTCTTCTGCGTTGACCTGAAAACCCTCAAAGCTCCCCCCAGGTTTTTTTTGTTTTTGTTTTTTATTTGATTTTATCTATTTTTTTTTCTTTTGCATATTTTTTTTTCCCTTTTCTAAATTATTTCATTTTTTTTGTATTTTTATGTTTATTAACTTCTTTTTCTATTTAATTTAGTTTTGTTTTGTTTTACCTTTTGTTTTTTTTTTTTTTTTTAATTTTATTTTTTTACTTTTTTTTCTTCTGTTATTGTTTTAATTATTTTTTTTTATGGCTTTTTATTAAATGTTTTAGGTGCCGACAAAAAAAGCTTTCATCATTATGGGTTTTCTACTAGGAGTGAATTGTGATGATTAATCCCATGTATGATTAAAAAAATTATCTGAAATTAATAAAAAAAAAAAGGTAATTAGTATTAAGTTGTACTAGAAAATAATTTTAATTCAAGATAAAGTGTAAAAACTTACTTTTTTAAAAAAAAAGAAGAGGCGTTTTGGCTGGAACTCTGCATACATCATGGAACGCCTTGAAGAGAATCCTGTAGAAAGAAACCGCCCATCGCCAAGGGGAAACACGACCTCCCAGAGTAAGTCCACGGTAAAACGCGAAGCCAGGGTAAACCGATCAGTCCCGCTGCCATAAGAGTCTCCAAGCGCCAAGTCCCGGAACAAACATGTCCAGTGAAGTCATTACCCCGCAGTTCCCGAAGAAGATCGGCTGCCAAGGAGTCAGACCACTTAATGGACGATGAATCTTAGGATGTTCCAAGAGATATCCACTCCAGGGACGATGGCTGGACTCTGAGGGCCTCAAGGACGAGTAGAAGAATGCACAAACCGCCGTGAAGCCAAGACCAACCCTCTCAGATGAAGCAAGCAAGTAGTAGAACACCCGCGTGGAATGTCATCTCATGCCATCCATGTCATCAATCCGCGTACCATCCACAACACGTCCAAGTAGTTATTCTTTGAGTAGTAGTTTCTAAAAATACTCGGTTAGCAAGGGGTACGAGGGGAAAAGGGTTTCAACTCTTACATTTGCTTTAAAAAAATGCGATCACACTCATTATCAGTTACAAAACAAAAATGATGCTTACTGGGTCTGCCTTCTACTGAGGATTTTTGATGATGGATATATATATCAACATTTCATTAACTCAAACATGTAATGAAGTTTCAATTTTCAAATGATGGTAAAATAATTAATTTTCAGTAGTATTGTCTTCAATAGTAGACTCTTGATGTTAATATTAAAAAGGTATAGATTATTTCTCCTTGTTTCCTATCCTAATTAAATAGCCAAGCCAATTTGCTTTTTGATGCACCACATTACTAGCATTTCCATTGTGCAGTATGTAAAAAAATTTGATAAATAAATGATCTAAAGTGCGTACCTTGATTTCAATTGTATCAATTGATAAATTTTTGAAACCACCAAACACAAATTGCCTAATTAATTATCATTGATGCAGTGCTAATAATCTTCCTCAAGCGGACGAATGGTACTTTCGTGATAGGCATTAATCCAAAGAAGTCACAAGTATTTAATAATACAAATAAGAGTAGCAGCCAAATAGATTGCATGCCGCGATGTAGTATGGCCCGAACAAATGTTAGCTGATCCAATATGCTGTGCTCTGCGTGTTGATGATACTTTATACATGTTTTACATGAAATGGAAGTAGTTATTGATAGAGAATGTCCAATTAATCACTTGATGGTAGTTTCTGAAAATACTTTGGAACGCGCAAACAATAATTAGTACTTCCCCAGGCCCCAACCCTCAATATATAATTTATTCAAGCACGTTCAAGGGTACAAATACCTTTGGTATAGTGTACCTAACAATAACATTTTCCAGCAGAACATTGCATGTTTTCATATATATACAATAAATACAGTGAAACAATGTGTTAACTGCGGAAACTACTTAATAAAAGTTAATAAAGAAATTGTTCAATAGGATCAAAAAATCACAATTCTATGTAAAACTCACCGAAAGTTCTAGCAACAAATAAGCCACTTCTAAAAATACACCGCTTAGTCCTGTACATCCAACAATTATGATTTCTTTTTTGTTTTCAGGCGAACAATATAGATATATAAAAATTAATTACATTATTTTTTGATTCAGTGAGGACAACTTTTAGAACACTTGTAAACAATTCACCCTAAAAAAAACGTGTATACATTCTCATAACATTTAGGCTCATTAACAGCGGATTAGCATTGCAGCGATTTTACAAAGGTGAAACAAACATTGGTAATTAACTTGATAACTTGCACATAATTAAAGTGACCGCACTACACAACTATATAGATATATAGGAATAAATTTGTTATGCGCTACTTGATACAATAGAAACATAAAAGATTATATGTATATATGTGTAGAGAAAATGATATATATATATAAACTCACACAACTTTGACTATAAACTTCTTATGAACAAACGAAAACTGCACAAAAATATTTTAGCACGATATGATAGATAATTATGATGAACACGTCAACTAATTCTTATAATTTGATTTCAAATCGTCCATGAAAACGTTAAAGATCAAGTAAACACTGATAAAACATTTTTGTAGATTAATTAAAAATTTCTGCAAACAATGCACATTAATATACTAGTATTATGCAAATTCCATTCTCAATACTAATATATAATTAAATGAATTTTATAAAATTTCATTGAAGCTTTTCTTGCTTTAAGTTCTTTTTTCTATCCAATTAATTCTTGTTTTTGATATTTTGCAAAAGCCAGCTGATAAAGAAATATAATTTTTCACTAAATTTGAAGCAGATTAAAGTGATTAAAATGATAATACTTTTAGAAAAATTCAATCTTTTTGATTAAAAGTATTTTGTGTCTAAAAATAAATTCCTCAATCAATTTATGTAATAATTTATATAAGATAATGAATCAATCAATTATGATCATTAAATTGTTACCTGGATTTACTGTTGAATTTGTTTTTGAAGACATTTTTAGATTTAATTCTATCAAATGAATTAAAAATATTCTATTTTTATATTCTGAATCTTGTATCTTGTTAAATCTTCAATGTTGTTTTTTGATAATAATCAATAAATAATTTTCAAAGAAATTATTTTCCAAGTCACAAATTACTCTCATTCATATTAACAATCAACATTTTTAATATCTCATTAGTAATAAATATTACTTTCTTGTTCGAGATTTTTCTAGACTGTCCTAGAATGTTATTTTTCCTGCGATGCAAAAGAAAAAAATACCTCTTCCCACAAATAAAATACAGTATTTAAAGAGTTAACAAACCAAATAAAAATTACAAAGGTAGAATCCAAAAGAAGATGAATTTAGCTCTTTACCTTCTGTTATTCTTCAATAATAAAATGCTTTACTTCTCTATCCATCTTTTACTTTTCTTCATATTTTCTTCATTAATTTTCATATCAATAATTTCTTATTTCCTGTATTCAACTATTCCTGAAGCTCAAAAATATATGTCTCCTACCTTTAATTTTTCTACTCTTTCCTCGTTACTCCTACCTTTTTTCTTTCTTCTAATTGTAAGTGTATTATTTTCAAACAAAACATTTATATTTATGCAAAAATAAATATCTCACGTGTTTCGAGTTTAGTTTATTTGTCTCAATACTCCGGTTACTCCGCAATTAACTTGTGGTCATGTCCTGCGCATAAAGAAAAAACGCGATATGTTCGAAAAATGAATGAATGATACCTGAATCCAGTTGAAGATAATTATTTGGGGCTAATTCAGTGGCTATTATCTCTCCTCTTTCCGGTTATTTCCAAGGGTTGTGTATGTTATCCATGATTCCTGCGACTCATAATTAATTTGTTGCCCTCACCCTCCCATAAAGAAAAAATTTAAGTTTAAATTAACTTATCTCATCTCCGGGTAATGTCTTTGAAGATCGGCAAATTCTCAATGAAAAATGGTCCGAGGGCGTTGAATTTTCTTATGTCTCTGAAGCGAAAATGACTGTTTTTTTTTTAATTCCCCCAATCCCATACCCAATAATCAAATGCAATCTACTACTTGTTTAAGACTAAACCAAGTTAGATAGGTTAATGAACATCAAAAAAACATTGGTGGTACCTCTATAGATTTTAAACTCAACCTTTCTCACATTGACCTCTTACTCCATCTGTCCAAATCGTCTTTATCTCATCTCTCCATCAGATCTAAATTTTCGCGATATCCGTATTTGCTAGCTTTTATCCAGAATTGTGCAATCGTGCTTCTATTGCATCTGTGAAAATACGGTTATTCGAATGCCGAGCATACCGTGCTCGTAGACAAGATATTACAACGCAGTACTTATTTAGTATTTGATATGTGTCAAACATTCATTAGAAAACGTTGTCTATTATTCAGAATTGTCTGCTAACAAATCATGCAGATTTTAGATACCTGAATACCTTTCAATTTTGAGTCAGTACCGTGCGTCGGACGACACGTGCGTGTGTGATTCCAATACTACAGAGGCTCGGGGTTGTCTTGAGCATCCCGATAGAAAAGTCTAAAAATCTGTTCTCGTCTCCAGACCTGGGAAAATACGATTGTCTGGGATTTTAACATCAAGAATAAGCTCACCAGCTATTATTTATTCCGGCTCGACCCCATAGATGCCTCTCGTTGCGTGTGTGTGATGACACTCTCGCGAATGAACTTGGTGAAGCAAGTGAGGGTGCGAAGGTTGTGGGTGTAGAGTTCATGCATTGCTCGCTGCGTTACTCGGTTGGCCTTCTAGAACATATGTTTCTCCCCCCTCCCTTTTTTTGTCTTCATGCGCAAATAAAACTTTCCTCTTACGTTTATTTTTTCTCTGAGTTCAGATTTTCGCTTTGATTATTATCAGATGTCAGCCCGAGGAATTTTGAAACCAATTGTCTCATACTCGTAACAACTCTCAACTCGTTATTTGAGGATGAGTGCTGTACTGAAAAGGATTTACGGAATTAATAGTCGATGATACTTAAACTAATTAATAAATAAATGGATTACTTCATTTTTAGTTTTAAATTAAGAAAATTTATTTGCTTAGAATAATTTTAATACTTCTCTCCTATGTGTACTTCGAACATGATAATCTATAAAATAATACTGTTACCGCTATATATTACAAATAATTTATAATCAACGGAATTGGACATCCATCTCTTATTACAGTAGATATTCTCTCATTACATAAACGTTGATAGACGTAATCTCGCAAAAATAAACAAATTTCTATAAAAATGAAATCTAAACTTAATATTTATTCAAGAGATCTGAAAAATTTGATTTATATACAATGAAAATGGACTAAGTTAAATTTACAGAAACTGAGAAAGACATTTTTCGATACAATCTACAAACCAAACGGGAATTCGTCTAGCCAATGGCGTGGAGTCTGGGCACCCTTGGTTCTGCATGGACCATAGTCACCAGAACTGCGACTCCCTCCGCCCATTCCAATGCCATCTCAAATGGTGAGACTGCAAGTAAAAAATACTAAATGTACATCTAGATAATGATGGAGTTTCGATGTCTGCAGTCCCAGAAGATTGAATCGACACGGCGTTGCTTCCTCGATGACCGCTGAATCACCGGAACCAATCGATGATAGAACCAAGGCAGCCGTAGAGTCGCAGGATATCCATTGCAGTCGTCGTAGATCCGCTTCGAAGATCATGATGATGTAGTAGATTCCTCACCGCCGCCCCCTTTTATTGTAGCCGAGACCCAATTGTCTCTTTGTCGAGTGTTTCAGTGGCTTTTCAAGCCACTGATGATCAGCGTTCAATTGGAGTTTTAATTCCGCCAAGCTCTGTCATAAATGAATTGAAGCTGTCCAACTCAGGATACAGACCGGAACCCCAGATGTTCTGATAGTTATCTGGGCGGTTTTCATCAGCTTGGGCAGCTTCCTGTTGCTTCTTCTTTTTCAGCTCTTGGAGGCGAGCAATTCGTTCCAGATGTTTGCTACGCAGTTCAACCTCAGCCTGACAGAGGGCGTGAGCGAGCACGGCTTCGACGCGCAAGTCGCGATGACGCTTGCACAGCCATTTCATCTTTTTACGACGGATTTGGCTGATCCAATCGAAGAGTTGTTCAGTTCCGTTAATGTTGGAAATCTGTACGTTGATGGACCCCATGATGACGATCGATGATGTAGATAAACGATGAAATAGCCGAAGTGTGTTAAACAAGCACTTTCTCCTCAACAACTTTTGACTTTCACTTGATTGTTAATGAGAACAATGAATCTTGAAGTTCAATTCACTCACACTTTGAACGTTTATAAACTGACTTCACTGAAATTCTATTTAATAACGATAGAATTTTAACTAACCTGTAGCCAACTCGTATTCCTCGATGTGAAGGACACGCTGAGTTCCTCTTTTATCGATGAACGGTTAAATAAACCACCGAGAAAGATACAGTCTGCACTATTCGTTCGACGACTTTGGAATAACGGAGGCAGCGAAAAGGGAGCGTTTATATAGCATCCAAGACGCGTGCAAGTAGTCCCTTCTGCGCGCGCAGTAAGAAGTAGTTCCTTGATTTGATGTCATTTTTATTCTTTAGAAATATTTTAGACCATAAAAATAATTCAAATAAATAATTAATAATATTTGAAAGTATTTAACATCGAAAATATTTCATATAAACTATTTAAAAAAGAATTATTCAAATATATTCGTTGGAAATCATCAATATGGTGTGTGTGCTACGGTCCTTCCCCACCACAATTTTGCGTCTTTTTGTAAATACGTCGTACCACCTCTCTGCAGCTGTTCTACGTTGCCAGATTTTTCGAGAGTCAATATTTTCTATGAAAAATTTTCTATTTTTCATTTATTTTTATCTTCCTCTAATTATTCTGTAATGACATTTAAATCTTCTACATGATTTTTTTTAATCATAGACTTTCGAATATTTATATGAGCAGTATATAATTTTCATTAATTTCCTTAAATGACCAATGATGACGAAAAATCATGACGAAATGTATACGTATTTTATCATTCCTTCCCATTTATACGTTATTCAAGGTAATGAGAAGAAAATTTGTCTCTTTAACATTAAATTATTGACCCAATTATTCTAGAAAGTTAAGCTATTTTTTTTTAGAGTTTGTATGCCTTCAAAAATCAATAATAAAGACGCACGCATACTTTTATCTTAGAATAGGTCTCGTTTTTAGCTAATTTCAAGTAAAATTATTACAAAATTATCTTAAAGAAAGATTTTTACCTATAAATATCTAAAGAATTGTTATTCTTTCTACATTTTTATTTAGATTATTCTTGGATATATTTATAAAATCATGTTGCGTCAACTGATGACGTATTTATAGGAACAGAACAAAAATATTAGTCATTTAAAAACGTATGCGTTGAATCATTCTTTATTTAGAATGATCATGCTAAATAGCATTGAAATATTAATAATTTAACTAAAGAATTATCAACAATTTAATTTTGTAGCATTCTTGATAACAAGTTTTTCATTTTAGTTGTACGCATGCTTTGCCACACTCTACCGATCGTTTGGAGATGCCACACCCCTTTTGTTATATACATTGGAGCCTGGAAAATCCCCTGACACGTCTTGTCGGACTTGTTGACCTGTAAATTCTATTGTGTATCATGAAGATTCCCGCTATATCTTGGGACAATACAACAGCTCTCCTATTGTCTAAGCGTCACTGCTCTGAACCTACGTGCTCCTGTAATTGTTAAAATTTTCTCAGCAGCGGAACTCAACTTGTTAGATTTTATGGTTCCATATTTAAACAGCTGGACTTTACTCATTTTGAAGAGCGTGCGTACAGTGCTGGCAGGTATGACCTATTGTTAGATTTTCTTGCGAAGGATCACGTAGTCATTGGAATTTATATATTGGCCAGGAGATTACAGACCCTTCCCGTATCTGCATTATTTTCAGTAAGCAACATTTCTCTTGAATGCATTGTAAATTTTACTTTCACCAAACCTGTCATCACCAGATATTCCGTACTTGCAAATTATTTAATTATTATTACATAGACATTCAGGAAAAATAAGACAATGTTTTAAAGACTCTTAAAGCCACGAGTCAACATATTTGCTGTAATTACTAGAAACTCAAATTTTCCGCTACGAAAATTCTATTTTAAAAAATATAATGGATATCAATATTGAATAATTTCCAAGTATTTAATTATAACATGTATACTTGATATAATTGCTCTATTAAACGCTCAAATAGATAATAGTAATATATTAAAATCAATCAATATTGATTAATAAATCATTACTAATTTTTTTATACTGTCCTTGCTTTTTAAATGAATCATGGTCAATGAACAAAGCATTGTACACTCTATTCTCTTAAGCATGTAGCTATTAAATTAAATATGAATAAAATAACATTAATTACCAAACGTTTCTCTTTAAATTTTTTCAAATTTATCTTTTTCATTAATTTAAGATTTATTTTATCACAATTATATGTTTCTTATCTGGATCATGTTTCAGTGTCAATGAAGACGAACGTCTGCCATGCACATTATAAAAACAAATAGATATATACTTAATAAGTTAAATTGATGTAGAATATACATGTATATATTTTTTTTTATTTTTCAAATTAACAAAAAGAAGAAAATATAAAAATGATTAATGTAGAGAAGTATTGAGTGTTTAAATGGATCAATAATGTCTTCAAAAACCGACGTAGGAATATCGTTGGTATTTTTCTTCTTGTACCCGTATATTAAAAATAGTTGGAAATTATTCAATATTGATATCCATTATATTTTTTAAAATAGAATTTTCGTAGCGGAAAATTTGAGTTTCTAGTAATTACAGCAAATATGTTGACTCGTGGCTTTAAGAGTCTTTAAAACATTGTCTTATTTTTCCTGAATGTCTATGTAATAATAATTAAATAATTTGCAAGTACGAAATATCTGGTGATGACAGGTTTGGTGAAAGTAAAATTTACAATGCATTCAAGAGAAATGTTGCTTACTGAAAATAATGCAGATACGGGAAGGGTCTGTAATCTCCTGGCCAATATATAAATTCCAATGACTACGTGATCCTTCGCAAGAAAATCTAACAATAGTTTATACCTACAGGTCTTAATATTTGGGGGCCCGAGTGCGCTTTTTCTCTTGTGGAGCCGTTAGGAGCGACAGAGACCATTAGATATCTCTCTGTTTCACTCGCACTCACACAAAACTTCTGCGCACGCGCCGAGTATTGAAAAGCATGTGTGCGAGTGAAAAATTTTCTACAGGACAAAAGAGAAAAAAGGTCTGCAATAAAGTACAGCTGAATCGATAGAGAATTTAATTTTCTATCGATATATATATATATATGATTATGAAACGTAAAATAGTAAAATTTTCCCAAACATTTGAAGCGCATAGAACTTAGAAAATTTCTCGCGCTGACAAATTTCGAGCTCGGCAGTAGGAAATCCTTTTTCACTACCCAGCATGGGCCTATAACTTTCCCCCTTTACTCGCCGTACAGTGTCCTTGTCACTCTTACGGTTGGAGTGTGCATTTCACTCGCACACATGCTTTTCAATACTCGGCGCGTGCGCAGAAGTTTTGTGTGAGTGCGAGTGAAACAGAGAGATATCTAATGGTCTCTGTCGCTCCTAACGGCTCCACAAGAGAAAAAGCGCACTCGGGCCCCCAAATATTAAGACCTGTCTAACTTTTGACAGGTAAAAGATAGAGCAGAATGTTGTATGGGTAAATTATGCAATTTTCGATTCTGCACATTTTGAGCCAAAAACCGGGCTGATCAGTGCATTTTTACAGATATTAGAGCGATTTAAATAATAAATTATTAATAAAAATAATGAAAAAATTAATACAAAAAAATTTTTTTACTCTGAGAATATAGTCTAATATCTCATGTTTTGTAAAAAATCGCCACAAAGTAACTTGTAGGGTTAATTTTTTTTATTAATTTTCTTAGTCTTGACTGAAGCTTCTGTCAATAGTGAAGCTTCAGTTGCGAATAACTATGTAGTGATCTATATAGTGTTAGTTTGTCTATCGCAAACTAAAATTATCCCATTTCCCTCATTTGACTGGACTAAGCTGTTCAAATATGAAACCATATAAGTCTAACAAGTTGAGTTCCGCTGCTGGGAAAATTTTAACAATTACAGGAGCAGGTAGGTGCAGAGCAGTGACGCTTAGAGAATAGGAGAGCAGTTGTATTGTCCCAAGGCATGGCGAGAATCTTCAACATACACAATGGAATTCACAGGTCAACGAGTCAAACAAGATGTGTCAGGGGATTTTTCAGGCTTCAATGTATATAGTAACTAGTATATAGTATTCTATATAATGCATGTAAAGTTTATTGATATCGAATAAATAATTACAAAACACTGTGTATTAGTAGACCAGCTTACATAAACACCATCAGTATTTTTACAAAAAATTTACATTAAACATATGAAATTATTTATATTAAAATGGATAAAAATCGTGAGTCCACAACGACTCCACGCTTTTCATTATACTAGCATTAATAAATCCTAAATACGTATAATAAAGTGTTAATTTTAAAAGAGCAAATTGTTCTCCTATTTTCAATTTTAGTCGTTTCCATCGACCTCTGCTGTACTTTAATTTTTCACCATAAACCGAATGAATACAACATTTGGACATTTCCATTAAGGCTGACATTCTCGAGGACGTTTTTAAAGTATGCTCAATGCTGCGTATAAGATCATTAGTCTTTAGTACTAACAGCATTTGTCTATTCACCCTTTCTAGTACTTCACTAATCTGAGGTAATAAATTTGGGACTTCGTTTTGAAATTGTTCCTTTTCATTACTTGAATATTTCGTCCTTTCTACTCCAGCCATTATTGTATCCCAAGTTCTACCTGATACCATACATGCAAGTAATCCATACATATCTTCAACACCAAGAGCTGCACAATACTTTCTCATTGTCTCTTTGTCTCGGTCAAGAATGGCCAGCCAAAGTTTAGAATAGGACCAACGAAACTCATTACTTAATTCTGCATAAAGGCCATGGTCAAGTAGCACTAATTCTACCTCATTTTTGGAATTTTTTCTGACAAGAATATTTCCAGGATGAGGATCGGAATGTACAAAACCCGTTATAAAAATCATATGACTGTACAGGCGACCCAGTTTACTGCTCACTTCGTATGAATTGATATTGTGATCACGAATATACTTTAAGTCGTTTATTTGACCTCCTTGAACAAACTCCATGGTTAACACACGTGGAGTAGAAAGGTTCCAATATATTTTAGGGACTTTAAGCCATTTGTAATGAGAAAATAAATGCTCTAATTTTTCAGCATTTTTTCCTTCACACATGAAGTCAAGCTCTTTAAATATATTTTTTTTAGTTTCATCTACTAGCCAGTCGAATTTAAATTCAGGAAATATCCAAGATGTTATTTTGACAAGAACAGACATAGTTTTTATATCGACATAAGCATTTGATCTTACTGCTCTATGTTGAACTTTAACAGCAACAGTTTCTCCATCTTTTAAAACAGCTTTATGAACTTGAGCTAGACTAGCAGCTCCAATCGGAGAGGGATCAATAGATGAAAATATTTCGTAAGGATCTGCTTTCAAATCTTCTTTCAAAACAGTTAACACATCGTCAAATGGAGATTGAGGAGCTGAACTGTGTAAAACTCTCATGGTTGTTACGTATTCTGTTGGTAATAAATAATCTAAAGCTCCTATATGCTGACCTATTTTGATATAAACACCTTTGTTTGCACAGCATAACTCCAATAATTTTTTAGCTCCAAACAAATGAGCTTCTGATTTAACTTTAGGATACTCCGGTGATGATCTGTCTATTTGACTACTGTAAAGTGCTTTATTATAATTTGATCCTATGATAAATACTGCTACTGCTGCTCTTCCTAATCGTACAATCCCAATAGATCCTGCATCATAAGCATTAGATCTCCATGACGCAAAAGTCCCAATTCCTGCTGTTCCTATTATTGCATATTTGAGAAGTCTTTTTGATCTGAATAATGACATTTTAATGAAATAAATTTCCAAAAATGATTCTTTAGATTCAGCATACACTGGCACCTGAAAAAAACAGGTATTTTAAAACTACTTTTCTAATAAACATAACCTCATTTTCATGATAACATTGTTATCAAGTATCAAAATCATTAGATAATCATAATTATTGATCATCATTATTAAAGAAATAGGTTACTCGACTCGATAAACATTCATAAAAAAACAATCATACTCACTAGATTTAATAAATTACTTTTAACAACAAATACTTAATATAAAAAATTAAATCTTCAATAACATAAAAAAATACAAGCAGTTTTAAGCACTCTCAACATGATATAAAGGCACTTTTGTACGTTATATTGATTGTTGATAAAATATACTTTGATTTAATTTGTAAAAATTTATTACAACTTTACTGTTAATCATGCATATCTAACACTTAAGTTGATGAGCCCAGACTTTGTCCCTCTACTCTAACTTCTGACACGTGGTATTGGAAAAGTGTTGACGCAATGTGTTAAGGTATTTAATAACTATGTAAGTAAATCGCACGATTCGTTGCTAATGGATATACTGATAAAGGAATTTTAAAAGTAATCAAATAAATATTAACCATTTTTCCGGTATTAAACCATTACATAGTTATTCAAAAAATAAATAAGGAATCTATATATGTATTTTCTCTTTTATACTAATGATTTTTTCAAAACTGGTATAATCGAATAAATATCGTTAATAGGTAGATAGATATTTCTTTTTATTAAAAAACCACAAAAAAGGTGTAACAAACAAAATGAAGCCTTTAGCTTTGAAAAAGAAAAAAAAAATAAATGGTATTTTAATTAATAACATCAAAGTAAAGATAAATTTATATGCTTCATACATTTTTTAAAAATTTTTACATAAATATTTTTTTATCATGCTCATAAAAATTTAATTCGAGCAAAGAAACAATCATTATAAACTAAATAGTCTACTAATCTGAAATTTGTATGTAGACAAAATTACATATGAATTTTGCCATTTTACATAAATCTAACATTTTTATTATAAAAATTTTTTATAATTTATGTACACAATAGCATAAATACTTTACGAATAATTACAATTCTTCTATCGAGCTGTACGTGTGTCTTCAGCATGATCGATGAGAAATTTCTGGAAATAACAATTTTTGTGACAAATTGTTGAGAAAATCCATTTTAAGAACCCTAAATTATCTAGTACAACAGCTTACCTTTACAGGGCCAAGTGCATTTATTAGTTGTAATCCTAAACTCCTCGCTAATACAATTGGTGCTGCCGTTCCTTTGTATAATCTATGTAAAGCATCTATTGCAAGCATGGTGGGCACATTATGTCTTTGTCTTGATGTTTCATATTTCTTTAAATACTGAGTATCTCCTAGCATTGCTCCATCTCTTACAGCATTATTTAAAACTTTCACTAAAGTCGTAATATCTCCAAAACCAAGATTTACACCTTGACCAGCTAATGGATGAACTCTGTGGGCTGCATCGCTAAATATAAGAATTTTTTTTTGAATATTTTTTATAAACAAATATTTTTTATTTTTTAAGAATCTGAAATTCAATCAATTTTATTACCCTATTAAAACAACTCCATTTGCAACATAAGACGCAGCATGGCCAAACCCTAAAGGAAAAGCAGCTCGTGATCCTTCGATTATTTTAGAAACTGAAGGTTGAAGCTGTCTCGAAACTCCAGTCTGTAGTGAGAATTGTTCAAGCAATTGTTGCAATGCTTTCATACCACTTTCAACAACACCATTCCTTGGATAAACTTTCCATAATGCATCATTTAAAGCATCAACAAATTCTTCTTCAGAGACCTTCAACAGTCTTTTTGCTTCACTGGTATTGATAGACCAAACAACAGAGCTCAAGGAATCTGTTAACTATAAAAGATTAATGAGTAAATAGTTTATTGAATAATTTTTTATAAATCTTGTTTTATTTAAACTTACTGGTAATAAAGCTACTGGACCATTTGGTAGAAATCTTTGCCACGCAACATTGTTTTCTGTTGGCTGAAGGATAAAATTATCAATTGATTATATGAATCATCATGTAGCTCATAAAATATTTATTTACCTCTGATAATTCAACAGTTGCTACAATACCCAGTTGATCATAATCCCATCTGATCCATTGTACGTTCATCGCTTGACGCACACGAGAATTTACTCCATCAGCTCCAACCTGCAATTTCCAAAATCAATTAATAATTAAATAATAATTAAATCATCATCGTTAAATTCAATAATTCAATAACATTCAAGAAATATTCAAAAATTATGAAATATTCAAACTAAATTTGAAAACGATTTTCAAAGAAAAAATGATGAATGAAGACGTTATTAATAGTTCTTGAAAGTAATACAAGGTACTAATGAATTATAAAAATAACTTGTTTTACTACTAGAACTTATAATTTTGTATGTTACAGAAACTTTATAAAAAAAATATTTTATAACTACGCTTTATTCTACCGAATATAAACAATCTTAGATTAAACATTTTTTGCAATTTCCATGTAACTAATTCTTTATCACAGTTTGAATGAATCTAATTTTTATGCTCATCATTAAATCATAATAAAAAAAATTTATTCTACAACAAAGTATTAAACATTATGTTTGCTAAATATTTGTAAACAATTATATAATGAATCAAGATCAAAAGTAAAAGGAAAAGTCATTGGCAACTTTTAATCGCCACTTCCCAAGCGGATGTTGCTATCAACAAGAGGCTTCTGCAGAAGTTTGAGGTTGGCCTAGTTTCCTGTCGTGGTTTGCGAGAAAAGAAAAAGAATTGAAAAAATTTATGTTACTCAGATAAACTCACTTGACGATACTGGAATGCAAAGATCAACGAAATCTAATTATAAGTTAAAGCTGTCTTATAAACATCTGGGAACACGTGAGGGAAGATGCAGGATTGATCAACATACGTTTCCAGTTGTTCATGGTATTCGAAACGACACTAAGTGCTTTACAATATTACATGTTTTTTAATAACGTGATGTAGAAAATACGAGTCCTTCGTTATTTGTGATTCATTGTCAGTGTATTTTATGATTAATAAAGAGATTGGACTCTCAGCCAATTGCGCTTTTGGCGAGGATGTTGAATCCACGTCGACAGAAATCATCAGATAAACTAATGGATCGTCGTACAAAACAGCAGGCTAGGAAATTCGAAGAAAACATTCATATGGCATCGATTACAGTAGATTATGAGGTATTTGTTTAATCCGTCTATGTCACAATATATAAAATTAACTGGGTTTAATTTAATCAACGTCAATATATTTGTCATTGATATCAATCAAACGTATTTAGTAACTCTTCTAAACAGTTTTTGATTCGTTAAATGTATATTTTTTTTCTTTTCAATCATCATTTTTGATTTATTTTTAAGACTCAACCTGGAGATATGTGGATGGATAGTGTTGATTGTGGTAGTATATCATCTGAAGGCTGTTCTATGGAGTTGGCATGTGCCAAACACATATTAACATCTCATCAACAACCATGGGATTCTGATGAAGTAACACATGCTCTATTCAATCTTCCTGCTGGTGAAACTGCTTTGACACTTATTCCAACTATTCATGGAGAAACTTTTGAGAAAGTTGTTGAAGCATTAAAGAACTCTAATATTTTAGCAACATTGAAGGATCAATTTCCAGTCATCTCCAACTTTGCTAATGGGTACGAGATTATTGTCAGATTATTATAAAATACGTTTCATCATAAATATTGTAAAAAAAAAATTTTTTTACAATAATTAAATTAGTTTTTATAAGCAGATAATAATGTAAATAAAAATTGTAGTGATATGAGAAAGTCTTCTTACGCAGCTCAAAATGAAACAGCATCATCATCAGCACCAGCATTAGTTTTAGCAAAATGGCCAGAAACGTGTCTTTTGGTAGCGTGCTGGCTTGGACAATACGAAGTGGTTAAATTATTACTGGAAAGAGGTACCAACATATCAGCGAGAGACGGAAGTGGAAGGTTGGAATAATATTTTCTTAATTGATTTCAAATCAAACATCATAAGTTAAACATCATAATTCTTTCTCTAGAACTCCGTTACATCTGGCAGCATCAGCCGGACGCATGAAAATAATTGAAGAGCTCTTAAAACATGGTGCAAATCCTAATGAATGGGATTCAAATAAAGAGTACACTGCTCTTCACTGTGCTGCAGCCATTGGTGACGTTTGCTCAGTCAGAAGCTTGATCAAAGCTGGTGGAAATGTTGACGCTGGACTTCCTGGACGAACACCATTACATTATGCAGTTCTCAGCAATATTCCTGAATGCATAGAATCTCTTTTGAAAGCCGGAGCTTCTCCTAATAATCCTCAAGTTTACACTGAGACTCCATTACATGTAGCTGCAAGTTTAGGATCTGTGCGAAGTGTCGTTTTACTTTTAAACTATGGAGCTGACGTGAGAGTTCAATTTGGTCAAGCACGATCAACTCCACTTCATTTAGCGGCTGAAGAAGGTAGCAGTGAATGTACAAAACATCTCTTGGAAGCTGGGGCTCCGATTGATGCAAGAAATTCAAGAGGACAGACTGCATTACATCTTGCAGCTTTAGCACAGTCTGCAGAAACTTTAGAAACACTTATTGCAGCAGGAGCTAATGTAAATATTGAAGATGATGATGGAAGAACACCTTTACATACTGCTGTTGCTAAAAGTTTTAGAAGTGGTGAATTAGTGCGAATGCTTATACAGGTAATATTAAGTAATTTATAAATAAAATTTGCAATGGAATAATGCTCCAATTGATTCTGTTATTAATAGGCTGGAGCATCAGTAAATAAAGCAGATAAATTTGGCTACACCCCTTTACACATTGCAGCTTTAAATGAAAGCTCGTTTGTGGTAACTTTATTATTGGCGAAAGGAGCTGATGTTACTGCACGAACAAAAGGAGGAGTATCTGCCTTGAGTTTCATTATTCGACGAACACCAGACGTTCTTTCTAAATTTGTTGCACGATTAGATCAAGCAATATCCTTACATGATCATGAACTTGGCGATGTTGATTGTGAATTAAGATTAGATTTTAGACCTTTGGTACCTGGAGGAAGAGGAGAAACTGATTTAATGTTATGCCTAGTAGAAGTGGGACAGAGACATATTCTCAAACATCCACTCTGTGAAAGTTTTCTTTATTTAAAATGGCTTAGAATTCGTAAGTTTTTTCTTTTTAGTTTAATATTTCATTCAGTATTTGTTGGAATCTTCTCAGCATATATTGTTGTCACATTTTTATACGATCAACAAGCGTTAATGAAAATACTTTTTTGGCCAGTTGCAGTATTTACTTGCATTTTAGCGTGCAAAGAAATCTTCCAATTATCACATGGTCTCTGTAATTACGTGAAAAGATGGGAAAATTGGCTTCAATGGGGAGTAGTTTTTGCTTCAAGTGCAATTTTGTTTAAACCAGCTGGATCTTGGCAACATCATGTTGCTGCTGTAGGTATACTGCTGGTATGGATGGAGCTTATGATGGTAGTTGGAAGATTTCCTATGTTTGGATTATATGTTCAAATGTTTACCCAAGTTTCTCTTAATTTTTTCAAATTTCTCGGAGCATATATGTGTCTTATAATCGGGTTCTCTTTAGGATTTAGTGTTCTTCATCAAAATTATAAATCTTTTATGAATCCTCTAGTTGGTCTACTAAAAACAATTATTATGATGTCAGGAGAATTAGAATTTGAAGATGTTTTTTTTGATAAAGAAGCACCCCTTCTATATCAAGGCACTGCTCATTTAATGCTACTTGCATTTGTAGTATTAGTTACCATCATTTTGACCAATCTCATGGTCGGTCTTGCTGTTTCTGATATTCAAGAACTCCGTCGATGTGCTGGACTAGACAGGCTTGTACGTAGAGCTGAACTTGTTGCACATTTAGAAAGTATGTTATTCTCTAAGTTCCTAGATCATTGTCCTAAAAAACTCGTCAAGCCATGCAGGAAAGGAGCACTTCTTTTACATCCACCTCATCACTGCGCTATCCACATCAGGCCTAATGATCCCCGAGAAAAACGACTGCCGAAAGATTTAATAAAGTCTATTTATAGATTAGTATCGGAGAGAAAAATTAAAGTAAGAAGTGCTGTTATGTCATCTCGAAACACTGCAGATGGTGAAGATCATCAAAGGCTTAGTAGGTTATATAGTCTCAGTTCCAATAACGATAATAATAGACAATTACTAGAATTGTTTACTGAATTCAAAAGGTGTTCTCAAAATATTTGCGTACGTTTAGATACATTAACAAATAAAGTGGAATCGATTGCTAGAGAAATTGAGCCACAAAATGATTTATGACATAACTTTTTATACTATTTTTAACATTTTGTAATAAATTTAATGTATTAGTCATCAAATTTATAATTTTAATAAAAATTGGTTTATTTTAAGTGAATTGTTTTATTGCAACTGAAAACTATTATTTACTTACCAACAATTGACTACTAAATTCTTCTCCACTTTCAAGTTTAACAGTAGTTCTTTCTCCATGAATCTTTGGTAAAACAACATCTTGTACTTTGGCGTTATAAACAACATGGACAGATGGATGCTTTTCAAGTTGTCTAGATACTGCATGAAGGATTAGATCATTTTCTACAATATAAGCTATTTCTTCAGATAGATGATCTTCATTAAATGTGATCATGGCATCAGAACAGGCATCCCATACCTTATCATTAATAACATGTATCAAATACTAGGGATAACATTGAAGGTCATTGAGCATGATATATATATATATGATAAAATACCTGCATTTTACGAACTGGAGCATATCGAATTTCTTCAATGTGCTTCCATGCACCAATACTTGATAATAATGTTCGTGTTTGCTGATTTAAAGCAACAACTCGATTAGAATATTTTTCTTCCTGTTTATATTCGTGTTTCTTACTTCCTTCAAGTAATAATATTTTCGTTGGTTCAAGTGCTCGATTGTTTGCTGTAGCAAGAGTTAATTATTCGAAATAGTTAAATATTATGGAAAATAGATCTTATCTGCTAATTGATATGATTAGTAAAGAAAATAATTTCTTTTTTAAATACTAAACAATGAGATGCAAACATTAACATTTATTTTTCATTGGTTAAATATTAAATGAATAAAATATTTTCTTTGGAGCTAAACAACGCAATTTTTTATGATTTTAAAATTCTAACCTAAAGCAACCGCAAGAGTTGTTCCGATCATACCACCTCCAGTAATAATGATATCATGATGTTTATCAATGTTTCCAGTATCACAATGGTGTTTTCTAGATAATATAACATTATTTGCAGTTAAAACAGCGTGTTTTGACCATAAGTTTGTACAAATTCCTCGGGAACATGACAAAAATTCACCAACAAGCGCCATTTTGTTTGGCGCACTGGTGTCAGAATTTCAAAACAAGCGTCTGTTTATATACTTGTAAAAGTTAATCTTATAAAAATGATTAAAAAAGTAATTTCAAGAAATCATTTATGGTTTAAATATATTTACTAAATATTTTTAATAATTAAAAATATAAAAACTACTCAGAATCAACAAAGTCTAAGCAAAGTAGGAAGTATCAGAGGAGGTTGGAATCTGATGTACGTAAACAAATCATATAATTGTTTATTATTCATGTAATTATGTTACTTAACTAATTTTATATACAAAAGTATTCTCTCAATTATTATTACAAAAAATTATTCATAGGTTAATTTGACAATCATAATGATGGTCAACGTTAAAAACATAAATCTTTGAAAAATTTTATAAATTATTATTAGGGCTTGATGTTATCCAATACCCAGTCCAGATAGAAAACAATTTTAGTATAAACGCCAGGAACACCGTCAGTTCCACATCTTCTATGTCCAAAGCTCACAATCCCATATTGCACATATCGAATATTGTCATAATAAAGTGCAGGTGCTAATAAAGGACCACCACTATCACCTCCACAAGAATCTTTTCCAGCTCTGCCACCAGCGCATATATGTTTATACCAAATAGTTACGTAACGAGGATACCGTTTAGCGCATTCTTTATAATTCATTCGAGCTAGAGTCACCTGGAGAAGTTCGTTGCTACGTGGTCCACGTTCTGTTGATCCCCAGCCAAGCACTGTAAATCGTTTAGGACCATGGCTTGCTGTAGGACCAATCGGTAAGCAAATTGGTTTGATTGTTATCTGTGAAAAGTCTATAGGTCTATCTACTCGTATAAGTCCTATGTCATTTTTTAGATTCCTTGAATTAAATTCTGGATGGTAGTGAACTTCTTCTATGTTGAAATCTTGATGTCCATTAGAACAAACTAATTCATTGCCATCATTATCTCGATCACAATCACGATCTGTATTTAGATTATGTTCTCCAATTCGTACTGCGTCTAAAGTGAGTGCTAAAATATATATCAATGTTTCATTAGAAAATCTGATAACATATCGATTGAATAGTTTTTATTATTTAATGATTAATTCAGTAACTTACGTGGTGAAAGATTCGTCACACAATGGGCAGCAGTCAATATATATCTTTCATTTATTATGCTCCCACCGCATTTAAATTCTTTGGTTCCATTAAAATCATATGATAGTAATGCCATCCAGGGATAATCTATCACACTTGTCTTTGCACCTCCCATTATTTTTCCATTAAACATTGGTCCACAGATATCATGCTTCAAGTACTTCAGATTGGGATGGTTTGCAGTATCAGGGAATTTTATTTCATCATCTGATGAATCTAACGATGAAAGAATCAGTTTATCTTGGGAATTAAATTGAATTATTTCATTGGGTGGAATTTCTTTGCAACAAACTTTTGGTGTCATTCCTTTAAATCCACATTTAGATTCTCTCAAAAAGTTTAGAGAAGTTTCATTGATTGTACGTCGATTTTTTAAAAGTTTCATTAGAGCACTACATTCAGGAAGAATAATGCAAATCCCATCCTTCTTGTCTGGTGTTGTACAACTTTCATCTATAATTATAAAAAATATTATCAATAAATTATCATTCATATTTTCAATTACAATATTTATTGCTAGAAATAATTGGTACTTACTTTCATCGATGGCAGTGATGGATGCAAGTGTAATGCATAAAATAATGCAATGTAAAAAAAACGAAACTTTTCGCATGATCATTTGATTTTTAAAATCAATTTTTCTCAGGTTGTCAGTTGAAAGAGCACTGCTGCTCTTTAGACGATGTAATTAACAACTAAACAGCTCTGAATATGAGCTGGTCATAGTCCCAGACACCTCATTTCTCCCACCATTTACCAGGAGGAATTTCCTATGATCCTTTCTATCAATTCAGAAATCAGGTCTCTTACAACCCAATTCCATAAGTTCAAGTGTAAATAAACAAGAATACTTATCTCCCCATTTGAGCATAGAATTCAATTTCCTTCACGAGTGAATAGATGTAGCTACCCTTGAACCTACTGGTAGCTGTTTGAAAGTCAAAAGTTATCGAACCTTATGTCTGGTGTTAAATAATAGTCAATGGCAAATCAAGAGATGAATAGAACATTAAGTAATTAAAGTTAATATAACAATTATATTTAAATGGAAATAAATAAGTTTAATTATCATTAATGATTTTTTGATAAAATTTTGAAGAAACGTTTTATCAAATTATTTATTAATTTATTAAGAATTTATATTAATACCAAGTCTATTACATCATGAAGACGATAATAAATGACTATTATATTAATCAACAGAATTTTTGTCAGGAGTGTAATATTTAACATTCAATGCCCTGATTTAATTAATAAACAAAGATGATGAGATAAGTTGACTCGTCAATATTTTTCTAAATTGAATAATTTTTTAATTTGAAATATTCTTTCAAAAAGAAAAATTTTTTTAAAGTCTAGTTGAAAAATACAGATTTTTTGTATGAGGAAGATTGTCTGGAAGATGTTCTTCCCTGTATTTTCTTGAGTTCAAAGTCACCATGGTGACACGTTCGCCTGCGTTGACCGATCGATTACAGGTGAAGTACCTGAAGAACGTACATAGCAATATAATAATAATGGAATAAATCCGTGAAGAAGTGATGGAATTGTTTTTGAAGTGCAATATATAAAAATGTCTGAACATAGAGGTACATCATTTGTTCATTCTTGTGTTAAAGTACCAGTCGATCCTTATAGTCGTCAACCAACACCATCCTACGAACGTCCAAGAGTTCAGAGGATAGAGAAACGTAGGAGTAATAAAAATGATAAGAGTCGTCGCATTAATTTTGCATCACATTCATCAAGTGTTCAAGACTCTAACCAAGAAGCTGGTAGTTCAGACGACAGTAATTTGGAAAGTTTCCTGGATTTCCTTGATAGCATACCAGATTACCAAGAAGTTTATCATCTCTCTAATGAACAATTCAAACAGAAGTTGGATTATCTGAAGAGAAAACAGAAATTGTTGTTAAAGAATTTTAAAAATTGCCTGGATCATGATGAAAGTAATGATAAATGTCTAAGTGTTCAAGATAAGCCAATTCCTCAGACAATTTTACCACCGTCGACTCCGTCTATTCCAGATAAATCTAAAAGATGGGATCAGAATAGTCGAGATTTAAAATTGTTAGGAAAAAAATGTAGCTTAGAAGATTCTAGAACAGCAAGTCCTCTACTGTTTTCGTCAGGGACATTTGCTGGTTTAGCTGAAGATCAAGATCTTTTAACCTTCAGGTAAATTTGGTTATTATCCAAATCAATTAACGAAATTTTTAACTTTTTTTTTCTTGCTGTATTTTATTTTTTTTTTAGATGTAGGAATAAAGACAAAGCAATGAAAACTCTAAAAAATAGAGAAATCCATTCAGCTGGTAAAAGTTGGAGTACATGGAGCGAGTCAAAAAGCACTGATAGTGATGAAAGTGATTCTGAAAATAGCGTTGAAACAAGAAGCTTACCACCGAGTAGTCCTAAAAAATGGCAACCGACTGTTCCAAAACCTTTTTCTTTTGCCTTAAGGTTTGTATTAAATAATATCTAATATAATTTATTATAATAATTAATAGTAAAGATAAAAATTACTTCAAAAATTGTTTAAATTTAGAGATGAAGCAGAAAAATTTATGAATGAAACTGAAACAAAAGCCACAGAAAATAATAAAGAAGGCTTCAAGAAAGGGCGAAGAGTTAGACCAATTCCTTTGACATCTAGAATTCCTCTTTACGATAAATTAATGGCTGCTAAAGAAGAGAGGTATAAAAAATTTAAACTTATAATACTCTTAACAATCGAATAAATATTATTTTTATATTACATGGAAAAAATATATTAAATATTTTTTTTCAATGAAGGAGTCGAATGATTCGTGAAGAAGCTGCTTGGAGTTTGATGTCTCAAGTAAAACCGTTCAAACTAGAATGTGATAAACGAGCAGGGAAAGCAATGAGTCGTTCAAGTCCTGAACTTTATCGAAAAAATAATAAATCTACATCAAAATTTCGAGCAAAACCAGTACCTAAGGATTTATTTGGTACAGAAATTTATGATCGAATGCTTGAAGAAGAATACGTGCGACAAATGCAAAAAAAAATCAGAGCAGCAGAGTTGTTGAAGTCATCATCTTTACCACCTTCTATGGCTAGACGAGAACGCATAAAATCAGCATATATTCCAAGAAGAAGAAATTGTGCCAATGATGAATGTCGTAAAAGTGAAGATTCATCCAGAATGTGTAGCGTTACTCCTATGACATCAGAAAGGTCTCGATCAGTAATGACAGATTTTTCTGGCAGAGGAAATAATTTGGCTGCTATTCTTCGATGTCAAGCATCGAGGTAAGACTTTATTATTAATTGAGTAACCAACCCAAATGATGTAAGAAGTTTTTAGGGAAAAGTTAGAACGAGAGATAAGAGAGAAAATGGAAGAACAAGCAAAGGAGTATGCTATTAAATTGAGGGAATCACTGACCAGTAAAAAACCTGCTTGGCGAGCATTAAGAACAGCTGCGAGGTAATGTAAATAACAAGAAAAATTTAAGACAAAAGGATAGAAAAAAACTCATTGTTTATTTTAGAAAGGATCTCGAGAGTGATTTAAATTATCGTACATCCTTGCGAAGGGACGAAGCAAGAGAGCAAGCTGAAAGACACCGTTTTGAGATGGAAATGATGTTGGATCGAGTAACTCGTATTCCTACACTTTTTGAACGTCATTCACAGGTAATTGATAATTGCAAATAGGAAACATTGTGAGTAATAAAAGTAATTTTAGATAGAAAAAGCATTATTTAAAAAATTTTTGAATCAACTTTCTAAGAAGAGAAACGAAAACCAGAGTTTCCAGGCAATGCGACAACTACAATCGCGTGATTATAAACTTGAGCGTAAAAAGAAGAAAAAGAAGAAAATGCCCAAATCCGAGCCAATATTACATTCAAGCAGTTTAGAATCAGATATTAGTCCTGCATCTCCTTCTAGACCTGATTCAGGGTCTTTTATTAATACTCCAATGACCAGATTATCTCCTGGCGAATCTTCCAAATCTTCAAGCTCTAGAAAATCACATGCTTCCACTGGGAGATCAGAAACTTCTATGATTAAGAAAAAAAATGAACGTGGACCATTGAGGGTTTCTATAAATGAAACAGCTGAACTCATTGAAGACCATGATGATATTGAGGATAGATATATGAGCAGCCATTGTGATGATCACAATGCTGCTAATCCGTGCAATAATGACAATGCTCAAAACTACGATTCTGATGCTTGTGACGAAAATAAGTAGTGCAATAAAATAAGTATGACTGAATGTTTTCTAATTTATTATAAAAAAAAATCATTCAACTTATGTATGTGTAAATAAATCATAAACATATTTACTACTTAATCCCAAGGAATTTATAATTATATGAAAAGAGTATATTCCGTATATTTTAAGAATCTATAATTATTTCTATTGCAATAAAGTAATTTTTCTATTTATTTATGTTTCTAGTAATCATGATTGATCAGTCTTGGGACGTTCTTAAACAAATAGAACAGTTTAAAACTACGTAAACTATAACTTCTTATTACAGTTGTGATAAGCATTAATCTCTCATAGAATTTAATATCCAATCCATATAATGAGTAACTCTAGTGTAAACTCCAGGAATGCCTTCGGTTCCACAATTTCGAGGTCCGAAACTCACAATTCCATATTGAACGAATCGAACATTACTATTATAAATTGCAGGTGCTAGCATGGGTCCACCGCTATCACCACCGCAGGAATCTTTCCCATCTTTTCCTCCAGCGCATATTTGTTTTTCCCAAATAGAGATTCTAGAAGGATAGCTACTAGCACACTCTTCATTAGAGACTCGAGGTATAGTTACTTTCAGTAGATCTTGACTACGAGGTCCAATGTCTGTTGCACCCCAGCCTAGGACTGTTACTTTTTTAGATCCAAGTCTTATAGCAGAACCGATAGGTAAACAAATTGGTTTTACATTTATTGGAGAAAAGTCTATTCTCCCATCAACTCTTATTAACCCTATATCGTTTTTTAGAGTTTTTGAACTGTATTCTGAATGATATAGAAAACTTTCTACACCAAAGTCCTGATAACCATCAGCACAAACAATCTCTAGACCATTCTTATCACGATCACAATCACGTTCTGTACTTAAATTGTGCTCTCCTACTCTCACACCATCCACAGCAAGTGCTGCAAAATATTTTATATTTCAATAATAATTATCATTAATATGAAAATAGATGAAGTAATATCAAATTACTTACGCTGTGGGAGTTCTGTTAAACAATGTGCAGCAGTCAATATGTATTTATCATTAATTATGCTTCCACCACATCTAAATTCTTTCCTTCCGTTAATATTATATGCTATTAATGCCATCCAAGGATAATCTAGCACGCCAGTTTTATTACCATTAACTATTTTCGATTGTGTGATCGGTCCACAGATACTGTGATTTAGAAACCGCAAGTTAGGATGTGATGAAACATCAGGAGGATCGAATGTTGATGATGATGATGCTGGTGGTAAATTAGTAGAAGACGTAATTGTTATTCTTTCTGTATTGCTATCCGGTGCAGAAGCTTGTGAATGTTGTGGAGCTTCACTCTGCTGGATGTTAGCTGATTTACAGCAGACTTTAGGTGTTTTACCATCAAATCCACAGTGCGAAGCTCTTAAAATCTTTAGAGACGATTCTGGAATTGGCTTAGGACCTTTGAATACTTGCATCAGAGAATCACAATCATTTAAATTGATACATTCACCAGCATCCCTAGTCGGTGTATAGCAAGTTTCCTCTAAAAAATATGACAGATGTTAAAATAATAAAATGTCAAGGTGAATAAACCTTTCTTGAAATAATTTCAATATTGTTAATTGACATGTAATTTTTATCGTTAACTTGAGATAAATCAATGTAATTAAAGTCATGGTCACATCATTTTGATTATTTTATGATTTTTTTTTGTAAATCTTAGTTACTTCATAAAATTTTAAAATTTATAAATTAACACCATTAACGATATATCTTACATGAATTTATTTAAATATATTCAACATGTGTCAATAGACGGATTTACTTTACATAAAATTCTATGTTCCTTATTGAAATGACGTAAATAATTTAACTTACGAGCATCAACAGTGAAAAAGAATACACCAAGACAGAAAATAATTTTTTGAATCATGTTCAGCAACACTTCTAGTTCTAAAAAAAATTTAAAAACTCATTTGAATGATAGAAAACAATATAAAGTTGAGTTTGATTGTTTCTACTTACTTTGAAGATAGAAAATAACTGAAATGATAATAACAAATTTTCCGGTATTAAAATAACTCTTATCTTATAACCATTTTATAATAAGTATCTATTTCCAATAAAAAAAGAAACAATTAGTCATCTATCACTGGTACCGCTATTTACTTCTTAGTATTCAAGTTATTAACTCAAACAAAACTTCTTCTCTTTAGATCAACTATTTATTAACTAAACGATAAACCGGTTGCGATAGCATTTTGCGATCTGCTGCCATCTGCATTTGTCCTTGAGGATTTTTTTTTACAAAGTTTTATTTTTTTATTATTTTTATATGAAGATTCACTTCCACTGCTAAACGCATTTTACGTAGGGACTGCAAACATCATATTCCAATAAACGCAGTTGATTTGGTAGTAATGATATTGAAACTGAATACCTTAAGTATAATATTGATTGATAATAATATTGAAGTGATAAATATATATTAGAATTCCATTTTAAATTCAATCCCATGGGAAACTCCCAGTTCAAAGCATTTGGCAAGCTTTAACATGTGTTTATATGAACAGTTACATGAATGTTGATTAGAGTTATTATTTCCGTGACCCGTAAGTAAATCTTAATGACTCAGAAGTTATGATTGATAAGATCATCCTCAGTTTTAATCATTTCTACTCAACAAAATGATATAAAATAAATTTTTATTAATTATTACTCATGAATTTATTTAATAAAGAAATGAATATTAAAAGCAGTAAGGAACAATATTTTTAAACAGCTGCAAATTCGTAACAATTATTAAACTGTTACTGATGTATATTAATGTAAAACCCTTTTACTCCAGATGATTAATATAAATTAATACTTATTATTTATTATAAAAAATGTAGCTTTATTTTTTAATATATATATTAGACATGATAAGTTAAACTTAAAATATATAAATATCAAGTTTATATTTCTCCTTTTTACTGTGTTGTTTATGTATTTATTGTCATGATTTTAATATCAATGTGATAATTAAGGTCTCATATTTTGCAATATCCAGTCAGTATATTTTGAAATTTTGGTATAAATTCCAGGCCATCCTTGCATACCACATGGTGAAGGTCCAAATGATACTACACCAACAGTAGTCCATCTCTTGAAACCATCTCTCGTGCTTTCTACAGCCATCAATGGACCCCCAGAGTCTCCTCTACATGAATCTTTTCCTCGTTGACCTCCAGCACAAAGTTGAGAATCACCAAGAAACACAGAAGCACTTCCATATCGTTCTAGACACGCTTGTCGATCAGAAATAGGAAGGGCAAGTTTTAATTTAACATCAGAATCACTTCGACTCTCAGTTTTGCCCCATCCAGCTACCCATACTCGTTGAGGGACATTTTCATCGTTGGGCAAACAAATGGGTTTAATAAAGTCTGTGAAGGAAACATCTTGACTAAGTCGTAATAAAGCAATGTCATTTTTCTGATCTCTTGATGTTGGATTGTAATCTTCATGAGCAATTTGTTCCTCCACACCAACAGCTATTGGTGGTGGAGCACAAACTTGAGAACCTCGACCATCACTAATACAATCATTGTCTGTTGAGGTGTCATATTCACCCAATCGAACACTTACTAAACGCCAGGTTTTAGGAAGATCTTTGCCTTTGATACAATGAGCGGCAGTTAAAACATATCTATGACTAATTAATACTCCACCGCATGCAGTAGATCTTCCATTTGCTGTAAAAATAATTGCAATAATTATTAATGATGAGTTAATTATTATCTATGAAGTGAGTAATTATTTGAATATTTTTATTCTTAATATATTTTTAATGATTTTCTAATTAACAACTTACGTTTTTGATATTCTAGTAGAGCCATCCATGGAAACTCATCAAGATCAGCTCGCTCTCCACCAACGATTCGAAGAGAAAGATCTCTACCACATACTTCAGGAAGCAAATTACTTCTAGAGTTAATATTTGTTTCTTGATTGTTCCATTCAGTGGGTTCAGTAGGGGTTGCAGGTGTTGGATCAATCGATGTTTGTACACAACATACTTTAGGATCTCGACCTTCAAAACCACATTGAGCTTCTCTAAGTTTGTCAAAAACTAATCTGGTCAATGGCTGTGTTTGAAGAAGTTGTAGCATTGGTGGACATTGACGAATATTTATACATTCACCAACTTCATTATTTCTTGTCCAGCACCTTTCAACATACCTTTCCTCTGGAAATAATTATGAATCATACCGTTATCAAAGTGTGGGGATTTCACAACTAATGAAGGCTTTTATGTGGTTTGTGATGACAGTGAAAATATCCAAGTAAAGTTATTTTTAAAAGTATGCTCTAGAATATGTAAAGTGTTAATGGTGAGTTTAATATGTAAATACTTTTCATGGGTTTTTTTAGCCATTACTAAAGTTGTTTGACCTTGCCATCAATCTTCCGCTTAGACAAATCCATCATGAAAGGTTTTGAAATTGCATGACGTGATGGTTGTTTATCTCTCTTCTTACTATTTGTTGATCTTATTCTCTTGCTTTTGGATAATTCAAATGTAATTATCGCGTAATAACAAAGATCGTTAAAATTGATTATACAAGTTCATAACAGAGAATAAATTAATGCATGGTATACAGTGCAAAATTTTTACATAAGTCTCAAATAAATTCTATCTAATTTAGAAATAGCAATAGTGTAGCTAATATTGCAAATGAGAATTGAATGATGTTAAATTTAATGAACTATTTTGAATGGACTTTGACATGTACATATTATATAAAATTGATGATAAAATTAGTAGTAAATGAATTACTAGGAATTAAAAATTGTTTGATGAAAAGTTGATAATTCTGATTGGATCATTAAATTTATCAATAATTAATTCAGGAAGATAAATACTTACGAGCATTGACATAATTAAAAGGAAAGAAAACTTGTGAAAAACAAAACGTGGTGAAACAAAACAATTGTTTAAACATTTTCATTATAAATAATAAACGATTAATTAATATTGAATAAACAATATCTCATTAAATCTTATAGTGATAATGCCAAAACGTTTCATGCAGATACGAGAATCGACTGACAGTGGACAAAGTAATCAGAGATGGGAGAACTTGAACCAGGGTCAACTAGTCTCCCACTTCTTTACGGTGATGAGAAGTTTACAAATTAATTATCTGAGGATTCCCCGTACGTATTTTAGATTTAACGAATATTTTTTTTTGCGTTTTATCCATTAATGATTGAAGTACATTAATTATAAATGCTAATTTTTAATTGTTTTTTTTATTAGTATTATTGTTTATCTTTCATCCGGGTTGTTAGATTTAACATGAATTTTTCGATGTTATTCGAATATATTTATGAAACACAGTTGTAAAAATAATCGTATTGTTTATAATAACATCATAAAAATGATTTATAAACTAAATTTTAGTATTATGTATTTAACTTAACAAACAATCAAGAATTGTATTACTGCAAATTTACTTTGTTATTTTTATATTCATTTAATTATTAATTAATTCCAAGAACAAAGATCTAGTATTGATCCTTAAAAAAAATTTGATGTACAAAAATATTTTTTGTTTAGCATTTCTCTATTTACTATTAAATATTATAATAACTAATTACTATTACAAAAAATTACTATTGTCGTGAACTTTAAAATATTCAAAAATACTCGGTAATTTTCGGCAGCCCTCGGTTCACCGTAAAGAGAAAGGAGATTTCTCTTTGCTCCTAAATTCCAGGAGGCGGCAGCATCTACTAGACAATGGTGTTCCAATTTTTAGTGTTGCAGATAGTCAGATAGCGCCACATGTCATTAAAAGTTGTTGATAGTTTGCCAAAAATTCATGAGTTATCGCCACTGTGTTGTTCAGACGGATTAGTATTTCTAAGAATTTTGTAAAAAACAATAAACATAAGGATCAGACTTGTACAAAGGTTTTTTTTCTCTGGCTTGCCGATAATGTCTGTTGTCGGGTTCATGCCCGTCTGATTTGATTTTCATGCTTGTCGTACTGCTTCAAGTAAGTTTTAACAAAAGAATTACCTATAGTATAGAACACTGCTTGATAAGTAAACGAATTATAACATTATTTTCCATGTACACTCCGTTTTGGAGGTCGTTGTCGTATTTTAGTGGTTATGTTCAACATTTTAACAAAATGAGAGTGAAATCTTGATATAAATTTTACTAACAGGATTAATTCTATCTTTTATCTTCCTCATAAATATTTTTTATTATTTCTTTATTTTATTTTGTCAAAATTGTACGATAATTCAATTACGATAGTATCGTGTGAACAATAATTTTATAATATTAGATAGATAAGATTTGTAGTTTAATGTGATTTCATATTTTCATTGTAAGTTTTTATTCATTTATTTACTAATAACTGTTTGTTTTAAACGACATATATTCATTTGATACTAATGACATTCATGATTATCAATAACAACTACTATTATAATTATTGTGCTCGTTTAATTTTTTTTATTCATTTTGTTTATTAATTCATTTTTTTTTCTCTCATTAAAATGAATAGAACAATGACGGAAGGGAGTGTGAGCAGGCCAAAGCGAATGGGAACGAGATTTTTCAAAAACCCTCCTCAACCACACATGTGTATTCAAGATTTTTTAAGGGTATGAAAGATATTTATTAATCCATCTTAAACAGAGTTAAGAAACAATAGAATATTTATGAAATATAATTTAAATTTTCCAGGGTTCAGTCCATCCATGTTATATTAATGTTCTATCATGGGATAAAATAGGAATGGCATCGTGTCCTTTCGAAAGATTGCCTCTTTATGGAGGTATGAAAATAAATCCACCAAGGACCGAATCACCTGAAGTGACTGTATTTTTTGTAATGGCGAATCCTGAAATATTACGACAAAACGGAAAAAATGCAACAGATCCGAAGGTAAGACTAAATAAACTTTACATTTAACAATCGATGAATAATATTTTTCAAGTGTGATATTAATCTTTTTTGCTCTAGGAACAATCGATTTTAATAGAACTTCTTCTTGACTTCATTGAAGCCATGAATAAAGGGATCGTGTTTATGAGACATTATAAAATCTTAAATGATAGAGATATCACAGGAGAGCTGAAAGAAATATGGATGGCAGTACAGAGTGATCGAGCTAAACTTCAAAATGGCACATCTGCTGAAGAAGTTAAAAGACCCGTTCCTCAATATCCTCAATATCAAGACCAAAGTCAGGATCATCAAAAACAGCAACAAAAGAAACAACAGCAGCAGCAACACCAACACCAACAACAGCAATATCGATCATTACAAAATCAATCTCATCAACATCTCATTCAACAAATGCAGCATCCAAGTGATGATAAACAATTATCACAACCACCCCAATATCAATCGAATTATATGATGCCAAGTCGCGGGTCGGCGATGGAATCATCTGAGAGTTATGATTTGGCTTACATTCGACCACCACAAAACACACTAATTCCACAAAGTGACCATATGTATGAATCTAGGTCTGTAGCGAATCATTATAATGTCAATGTTAACAAAGTACGAGATCGAATTGTTCCCAATGTAATAGCAAATCCTCCAACACCACCGCAGCCATCTGTACCATATCCAGCACCTCAATATCAGTATCCACAACTGCCACGTCAAATAGGAGCTTATAATAATCCAAATATTCATCCGAATCCAGGATTACCTTTCGAAATTTTTACTCCACCAGGTGCTCCACTTGTAATTAATCCAGCGCTGGCTCCTAATCTACAGATTCATTACGACCCTTATTTTTATCCAATAGGACTTCATGATAAAAGAGTTCATCAAAAAGTTCATAGAATGCCACAGCCGCAACAACCACAAATTCAACTCGTTCATGCTTCACCCGTTTCGCCTTATGAAGAGATGAAGAAGAGGATATTTAGACCTCAAGCTAATACACCTCCAAAAAATACATCACATAAACGTCAAGCAGCATCGCCTACTCATCCAGCTCCTCATAATAAAGAAAGTGTTGGAAAGTCTAAGAGTCCAGTAAAAGTATTGCAAAGAGATAATTCCGTGTCAGAGCATGAGAATGCTGCTGGAACAATGACTGATAAAATTTCAGATGAGACTTTTAATGATACTGTAAATGAAAACAGCAATGTTCAAGTTACAGATTTAGATGAAGATGAACCTCATGCTGCCTCTGGTGATATAAAAATAACAAAGACTTCTGACGATAATTTGACAGCATCATTTATGGACAATCAAGTGAATTCAAAACAATGCAAAACGAAAATTATGGTTCTAAAGAAAAATAAGCCGTTCGATGATATCAATTTAATTAAACATAATGGCCGAAAAAAAAATGGTGTAAAATCAGAAACTGAACAACAAGATAATGATGCGGATAACAGAACGAATGAAGGTAAAGTTGAAGATGAGAAATTGAATCAAAGTCCTGAATCAGAGCAGAATGGTTACATTGATGAACTTACTGATAAGCAAGTAGAAAGTGACGATAAAATTTCGAACGGTATGAATACAATTATGGATAATAACATAAAGTTAAATGCTAGTACATCTGAAGATATACTCGTTAAACAATCTAATAAAATTAATGGACAGCCGAATAATTTCGGTAAGGACAAAGAAATTTTTGAAATGTACGCGATACAGCGGAAATCCGAAGTGAAATCAACGCCAGATGAACTGACAAATGATATGGCACAAATATCGATTAATGATTGCACGGAAACAAATGAAATTGGCGCCGTACCTTCGTGATAGTCTAGGTTTAAGAGTAAATAGAATTGTTATCGACCAACAACAATTCTTTTAACGATGTATATAGATAGTTTTACATTATTAAAAAAAAAGTTATCATGGAAATAGGAGCAAACAAAATCAAATGAAAAATGTAAATGATTAATTTCGTATTGATTTACTGATGTTGCTCTTCCATTAAATCAAATGTTAAAATGTCGGTGGTTCATAAAAAAAAGAGAAAGTTTAGATAAGAAAATCGCAATGCTAATTTTTGAATGTAAAATAAATTGGTTTTACTAATGATTTTGATAGCGTACAGCCAGGCTGTGAAAAGTAAAAAACTCTGGTGCAGAGGATTTTCCATTTATATTAAAAATGAAATCCTCAATAAACTATAGCTAATGATTAATAGTAAGGAATTCAGTAACAATCAGGATCAAACCAACCAAGGAATGTACGTATAGAATAGAATGACTTTAATCTGAAAATAATTTGATTCATCCGGGATTTTATTCGTATTTGATCTTAAAAAAGTTCATAAAGTGGACTTGAAGCGCAGCTTAACATTTTAAAATATAATACAGCTGAGGGACACATTCAGAGAAAATATTCAAGGTATTCTGGCATGACTTTTGTAAGCAATTGGAAATGAGATGCCCTCAACAATTATCCTATCTTCAAGGTAATCGCTGTGCAAAATGGAATTTAAAAAAAAACTGCCTGAATCATAGCTTTTACAATGTTTATAGCATTCAAATTTTTTGCAAATAGCTTTATAGAAAAGTCTGATATCTTCCGAGGTGTTCGAAACGTTGTTCAATATGGCTTAAAATGTTTTAATTGATATATATTTTTTAGTTAACTAAAAAAGCAAAATAAATTTACTTTATTTCAACTTTACACGATATCAGAATAATATTTCTAGAAACAAAATAATCATCACTGGTTTATAAGTTTCGTTGATTAATTGTAAATTAATGATCATACAAGAGTGTTCCGTGGCATTGCTCGACACCCTTGCCAAAAAATGAATGAAATGGTCCTTTTCGAATATATAGTTTAACATAAACGTATGGTTACTCAGTATTGATGTTATTTTATAATAATTATTATAAGTGATACTGTGGTTTATTATCATAAATATATTATTACAACAATCAACTATGAAAAATTGTAAACTATTATACAATAATATACGTTCATTTTTTGGAAAACTATTTGTGACTTTTTATACTTTGCTGATTAAAAATAATAATAATAATAATAATGAATTATTATTGAAAAAAAACCGTAGTAGATAATGAATTTAATATGATAACTAAATTATTAATAGTTATAATATACATTTATATAAGCCGATGCCTCTCTATTATGTACTCTCACCCACTCTTAACTTTCACCTTTGCTATCGTCAACTATACAAAAATATTCTGGAGCAGTCAGGTTTTAGTAGTAACAATTTGATATATAGTAAATAGGAGCAAAAGCTTTCCCTCAGTTTGACTTTCGCCATTATAATAAAAGTTTAATACTTTGTTATTATTTTTCTTCAACATCTAGTGACAAAATAGTGTTCTCTCTTTGCCGGAAATCAATCACCATCACAGAAAAATCTGCCATTACAATGAATTGTTGTGTCATCTGCAATAATAAATCTTGATGAATAATTTAACTAGGAAGTACAGTGCAATATTTTTCTTTCTCAGCACTCTCAAGATGTAATGACCAAGTGGAAATCATGTCGTTGACCAATTGACACTTTTTCTTGTACTTCATTAGCTATAAGTGAAACGCTTAACACTTCTCGTCACAGTACAATTCATTGTAAAATAAATCCTAAGTGTTAATTAGTTTTCTTTCACTACAGATACAATTTCTAGTGCTATCGTTGATTTTTACCAGTCAAAATCCGTTTAGTTTATACTAGACTGAGGTGAAAGACTGGATTCGCGAGAATGTGATTGAAAAAAAGAAATAAGACTCAAAGGAGTGTAAGGAAGGGAGCTCGACCTTTCTCTAGAGATGTGGCTGGCCGACATAACGTATTTCTTACCCTTCCAGCTTGCCTGCAGGTGAGAAGAGAGAGAATATCAGAAGCTGAAGACTGACTAGGTAAGTCAATAAGAGACAAAATTTATTCATTCTTGCAATCAACTACACTATCTAACCGTTTCTATTGTCTTCTTCTTTCTCTTGCAATTTTCTTCTTCAGCGTACCGTGAATTCTCGGTTGAGAGCTCTTTTATATTTTCCCAACTGACAGTTGTGAGGTCAATCCGTATCAAACAAACACTCGTTAAGTTTCTGGTGTTTTTTTTCGAAGAATCAAACTGCGATTATTTATGCAGTCTTCTGGAAAATATTTGCTGTCGACAAACCTTTTAAAGTATTGCTCAGCTTCGTAAATCTGCAATAGCCATGGATGATATAAGTAAGATTATTTTTTATCTTTATATATTATTTATATTTTTTATTTCAGTGATTTTATTTAATATATTTAATAAATAAAAAAGAAAAGTATCTAGTGAAAAAGATTTTTAATAATTTTATTAAAAGAATTTAAAAAATTTTATTTTTAATTCATGATTTTATACTTATCATTTTGATCATCAAAGGAATACCCACCAATAAATTTAATAGCTTCGACTCACTTTCTATGATTTTCATAGTTGGGTAATCCCATTGATTTTTGAAAATAATTTCTCAGAAATATTTTTTATTTTTTATTAGGAGCCATTACAATTTAACTCAAAAAATTTTTTCCATTTTAAGACGATGATACAGACTTTTAAAGTCGCATGTACACTCCTCTTCTATGGAATTCGACTAGTACACATTAATTATTTGCTTAATACTAACATCAAGTTAAATTAAAAAATATTTTTGACATTTTATATTAGCATGTAACGACAATATTCATATTAAAACTTGATTTCTTCAACTTTATAATATTGGAAAAACCTATGTATTCGACATCTCTGGTCAGCTTCTAACGAAAGTACCGGTATCAACACTTAATGGCCTCGACTTACTTTCTATAATGTTATAGTTGAGTTAATTTATCTTCAATGATCACCCACCGTTCTATTTTTTTTCTAATTCTGAATAAATCAATAATAAATACTAACATGTTATTTGCCCGGTTACTTTTCAATTCTAGAATATAATTACAACAAATACATACTTAAAGTTAACAAATTTCCTTTCATTTAAAGAAAAAAAGTCATGATAGAAAATTGGAAGTGTAGGCTGTTCAAAATTCCTTTCTCATACAAAAATTCGATGTAACACCATGTAAACGTGCAGGCATTGGAACAACTTGTAATGTTGATGATGAAAGTGTACATATAAGATTATCACTTATTTGGTCATTCATAGGTCGTACCATCCACAGATGTAGATTAAATGTATCTTGTAGAATACTAAAGTTCTGATTTATCACATAACATGACTGTTATATTGATCAGCATGATGCTTCTGATCTCCAATAATCATCTGCTACATAAACTCGCATCAATTTCTATTAAAAAAGAATTGATAAAAAATTGAGTTATTGAAGTAATTGAACTATTAAGAATGTTATTTATGTTGATAAAATATTTTAATCAGTATATTTCCAACAATAAAAATAATAGATAATTAGTTGAACCACAAGCTTTCAAATCATACCTAGAATCATTACCAGAATAATAGAATATGAAAATTATATAGTAAACAGAAATAATTGGAAATTCAATATTTATAGTTATTAAGAAGAATGTTTTGAAATCATTTGATTAAAGTACACAACAACAGGATATAAGTTGGAAAATTAATTAAAATATCAAAAATTACAATGAATTACATTGGAACAATAATAAAAATACCTTTTCAAACAATTCAGTCAAATTTATAGTTATTGATTATTAATGGAAGTAAAAATAGATGCTTACTTTATCAACAATGCTGTTTAATGAACAATAAAATTATTTTCTAGAAAATGATCCAGTTGAACAGAAATTTCGGATGCTTCTGGAAGAAGGTGCAAAAATACCAGCTGACGCAGACGATCCAATGATAACATTACCAGAATATTATGACCCAATAAAATTTCGAACTGGTCAAGATGTCTTCAGGAATAATTTTTTTACGATGATGGTAGCTAAATTATCAGGACTACTTATTTTATTAGCAGTACCTTCAGTCCTTGCAATTTTAAAATTCACCAAACAAAGTGGTACTCCTTGCACAGCTTTCCGAAGATACGCATCAACGATACTTCACACGTGTATTTGGTATAAAAATCCTGCAGATGAAACCAGTGAGTAAGTATAAAGAGCAGATCATAAAATAAAGAGAAGTGAATTTAAAAAGTTTGCTTACTTAATGATAATACTCAAAAAACTCATCACGTCATGTTTTATTGCTATTTAACACACAGCCATTTCCTCAAGACGGTTTTTTTTTTGCAACACAGAGCTAGAAATATCTTATATGTAGACTAAATGAATTTCGACAGTTCATTGACATCATTTCGTACGTCAGAGTTTAGACGTCTCGATTAGATTATAAATCTTTCTGATCATCTGTTTATTTTTAAAACTTAAAAATCAAATGCTGAACAAATATTATTAATAAACTTATGGCTCATCATCGAATGGCTTTTATTATAATAAAGTTACAATGAGAAAAAGCTTCCAACAGTGTGGTGGCCTTGGATTGTTCTAAGAAAATCTTCCAATCTGCAACATATAAATAATAAGAATCATTAAATCAATAATCATAATAAATTATTTCTTATAATAATGATAATAATAATAATTACGGATTGCAGATTCTTCACATCCTTGAAGAATGTTCGAAGAAAGCATTGTGTGGCCTCCAGACGCAGTTATGAAGCTGGAATAAGTCGAATCTCTCAACTGGACATGGCACTCACTCAATTTGGATTTATTGGATTTACTCTTTTAAGTGGAAAGAAATTGGGAGTTGTTACCACAGATGAAGAGCTTGAAGGTCTTCTTCATTTTTGGAGAGTTATAGGTCGATTACTAGGAACCGAAGAAAAGTAATAATTTATTAAATAGTCTTTAATTAATATAATTGTTATTAAGGAAAAACTAAATGGTTAAAATTATTTTTAGATATAATCTTTGTAATGGAAGTCTCAATGAATGTAGAGATCTTTGCAGACGACTATTAGAAGATGTTTTGGTGCCTCATCTTGCCAACAAAAGAAAAGATTTCGAAGAAATGAGTACTGTTCTTCTTGAAGGCTTATGGCCTATACATCCATTTATAGGTAGAAAAGCTTTTAAACTTTTCACATATAATTTGATTTCGTCAACTGTGACTAATAACAATCATAGTTTGGAAATTGATGATAAGTCACTGCCTTTTGCAAGTCGATTGCTATTACATTTCCACACTTTTATTCATGATTATTTATTAAATATTTCTTATTGGTGGTCAAGTATTTTTAGATATCTTTTAAATTGCTCTATGGCTTTAAATGTTTATCTTACAGAGCATTGTCCGTTTTTAGCTTATTGGCTTTGGGGTAAAAAACAGTCATTGTATAATATTTACAAATATAATTTTGATGAGAAAAAGTCATAATTTAAAAATAAAAGTATTGAATTATTCTGAAATAATTGTTGAATTCAGAATTAGTGTGATCTGTAGATATTTGTGAAATTTTTTACTTTGTATATAAAAGCAACTAAATTTATTTTGTGAAAATTATAGGTAAGAAAAAATTTGTATGTTTAGGCAATCTTGAGTGTACATAATAATTTTATTGTTGAAATGAATCGTACTTAATTGAAGTATAAATAATGACAAGCACTAGAAAAATTGCAATTAATTTGAGAAAATTGACTAAGGGCTCTTATTTTCTTAATATTCCTTTAAATTTATTATTATCTATTTTTATGATATTAAAATTATTTATTGTATTAAAATTTTACTCCAGAACGAACTGGAAAATCTATTTGATTGTGATAAATTTTTTAATAAATCTAAAAATCTGCCAAGAAAAATATAAAAGAAAATGTATTTTACGATATAAATTTGATAATAAAAAATTAAATGTGATGATTAGAGATATTTAATAAATTCATTATGAAGAAACATTTTTTTATTCAAATTATAGATCATAAGTATGAAAAGTCATTTTTTTTTTAATCGATAACGAAATAATAGGAATATAATAAATACTGAATCATTTTATTACACATCATAAGCTATTACAAATATTTAATGCAATACTCAAGTTTATTTCAATGGAAAAAATTAATGTAAAGAAAATGTATATTTATAAAAACAACAGAATATGGCTTTAGGTGAGTGACCTTTGAAAAAACAATTCCATGTCGTTTCTAATGCAATAATTGATTTCTTGAGCAATGAATACTTATTAAGAGCTACTTTATTAAAGTTAACGGAAAGTTTTTATCCAAAATAAACTATTGATATTCAATTTATTAGAAGTCTAAAAGAAAACTAACTTATGATGTCAAGATGAGAAAACAACAAAATCTGACTTATTTTTTAAATCTCTAAAGGTCTAATAAACGCGTAAATAAATGATTATTCTTTAAATTGTACGTTTATTAGCACAATTACTTTTGCCTTCATACTCTACTTATTCCACTTTCATCTTACCAAACCTTGTCTCATAACCTAATAATTTTGTCGACTTTAGATTCTTAATAATTCTATTGTTCTCTATGCAAAAGATCGAAATAATTATTTAATTGTACTAATTGTCGGAATACTATCTTATTACAACAGATGCATTTTTAAGCGAGGGGACAGTTAATCAATGGCCCATTTTAAAACTGAGTTTAATTACAACTACAAAATGTGATCTAATTGCCCCAGCTACTTATTCTCGATTATTATTTCATTCTTATTCACATCTTACATCATCTAGTAATAACCAACTAAACTGAAATAATTACTTCCATGACAGAAACTTTACTGTGAAATGACTAGCAAGATCTATAAGTCAAATTGTGGCTTTTAGAAAAATATATATTACATTTGAAGCGTCTTGAATTTCATTGCATCATTGAAAGTTTCGAAAACTATTATATTGATGTGGGAAAAAATTTCACTATTGTGATTGTTGATCTTTTGATTCAATGATAATTGATATAAACATAACTTGGAGATGGATTCAACCTTTAGTCCCTTCAACTTCATCAATAAATTCTGCGGTTCCTTTTTTTGACTTGAATGAAATTGAAGTATATAAATAGCATTTCATTTATTATAATTGAAGCAATTGAATATATTTTTTCAACTTAATCAACTTCAAATTTATAATCAACCGGATTTTCCTATTGAAGAAAAAAAAACTTGAAATAGTAACATTTACTTGATCTTTTATAAGACTCGAACAATTTTCAGAGTCATTAAATGCTTTCCATCAATTTACCATTCATAAATAAAAAGAAAGTTATAAAAAGTCTCACATACTTACGTGCATTATTCCAATAATGATTGCTTGACTTAAGATAAAATTTTGTCTGATCTCCAACATCGCCAGCATATGACAGGTATCAAAATATTATTTTTATATCGTTTTATCTGCAAAAAATAATTCAACAATAAAGATTTTCATTTATGATAATTTCTGTAGACACAGATGGCAAGGAAACAAGTAAGAAAAACAGATGTTGAAAATATTCAGTTGTTGCAGTGTCAAGGCTACTGAACTCGTTGTGTCCACAATGGAAAAATGTCTGCAATCAATGTCAAAGAATATGTTCTGTTATAATTAGTTATATTATTCTGCGAACTGTTTTCATGTTTCATACAATTGAACGAACGTATTTTACTCGTGAACGATCAAACTCGGTTCACTGTTTGGATGATCATGATATCAATACCTAAAATTACTTTTAACAGTGTCGTTAATAAGAATGAATGTTTCATCGAAAATAGTTTGAACAATCACGACACTTTGTATCTTTATTTGTCACGAGTTTCATTTAAAAGCTTCGACTAATTGAACATGCAATTATCAATGCTCACAAACAATAGAAATACTTTTTTTAGTTTTGTTATATTATGTGTCAGTGATAAATTGTGTCACCCAAAGAATCTGATGGAAATATTCTAGGAGAAAATTCAAGAAATGCAACTATTTGACATAACGCCAGAAAAAATGAGGTTTTTACATACGTAGGCTTTAAAATGTCTGCTGTTAATGGAAAATTTACTGATTGATTTAATGATAATTGGACAGACACTATTTTAAATGAAATAAAGGAGGTTATAAATATAAATGTAATGATAGCGCCTGAGTGGGATTTAGGAAATACCCTGGCGACAATGACGTGCCATTTGTAAACAATGTAGAATACATAAACACTAGAATCCAGAACTTAAAATATATAAAAATAATTTTGTTAACAAACGCAGCATAGCTACAAGTATTTATCAACAAAATTATATAATATTTGTATGTACAAAAACTTAATAGCAATTTTATCATAATTGTATGTTATCTTACTTTAATTTTAGTGTTGTTAATGTGAACCAACAAATGTCTAAGAAAAAATAAATGCATCCAGACATCCTTGAAAGTTCCTAGTAATGGCTGAAATAGAGTGAGACATCTTGCAGGATAATCGTCATAAAATTGTATTCACAGGATCACGTGCAAAATGGATGAACTCGAGTGCTTATGTTGAACATTGCGTGCGTACGAAACAATCAAGCTGTCTCTGGAGTAATTGGTCTGAAATAAAAAAGAAAAGTATTATTAATGTTTCTTTTTAAAAAAAAAAAAGCCAATTGTGAAAGAAAGTTGTTTTTTTGTAAATTTGGTTATTACAGCATACAAATGTTACCCTTGAGGTAGATCAAGTATTTTGAAGTCAAGGAGAAAATGAATTCATTCTACAAATATTTCAATTAACCTGATGGATACGAAGATATTCAATAATAATAATCCAACATTTTGTAGTTTATTTTATCTTAAGATCAATTTTTCATCATTTTCCATTAGATGCAAGCAATATTGAGATGTGAAAATCGTTATTGAGTGATTCAATGCGTATCTGCAGTCAGTTCAATGATATTTCATCAATTTTCTTAATACTGTAAACCTACAAGTTAATTATTGCAAAATGAGTGTAATTACAAAGAGAAAAACAGCAGATTAAAGGTGACTGATATTGTGATATGAGGGCGAACGTCAAGACTGTATTGCTATTTTGTTGCAGGTATGTGTTCAACGATTCGAAGTGGGGGTTCGACGTAAACTAAACGATCTTGAGTTTGAAATTTACCGGGAGGTATCAAACAGGAGCCAGTATGTTTCTTTCTACCGAAGAATAAAGTCCAGTTGCGAAGTTTATTTTTTTTTTAATCTAAGCAACTTTTTTTTTATCCAGGTAACTTTACTTCTTTATTTTTCTTCATCTTTTACGTTCACTCTTTTTTATTGTATACATTCTCTACGGATTGAACTTAGATCAAAATAAAGATATAAAAAATTGTAAAACTTGATGGCAAATTAAAAAATTGTTTATTAACCAAAAAAATTAATTAAAAATATATCATCAACTCGTTATCTAGCATGTCTTTGGAGAGGTTATGAATAGTATTGTGAATAAAGATTATTGTCATGAAAATAGTAACAAATCTATCAATATTTAGTAAACAAATTTTACTTTAATGTTTTCTTATTTGAATTACACGGAAGAAATATCAAGGCCGATCGTCATTGAGTTTCGGTATGACTCGTTGATCCTCGGAGAAATTCGTTGCAATTTCGTGTGCACTCGTATATTCTCGTGTAATTTCGCAGCGGCGCGTCCGGTATCACCAGTTTGGAAGCGTGTGGTGTCAGTTCAGTTCTTGTTCGTTCGCACAAGAAACGAGAAGCATAGCATGTGCCCATCAGTTCAGAGCCACGTACACGCTTACTTATTACACTATCAATCTTACCATAAACTTTTTTCCTGTGGTTACCGTTAGGGTTAAAACAATTGAAAAAAATTCAACACCAAATCCCTCAAACCAGACGTCAATTGAAGTTATTTTTGTTGCAGATAACTAAAATTCAATAGATGAACATTATTATTTAGTGTACGAAATCACAAGTGACAAAAGTTATGATATTTTCATGGATATTCTAGTGTGAAGGTTGGTGAAGTGCCTTTGGTGAATTTCTCACGGTTAAAAAGCTACCTGGTTGCCTCCATAATTTGTCAAAAGCTTTGGGAAAGTAACGGAAGACAATAAACAAAAGTAAGAGAGTAAGTGAGAAGAAATAGATAGCGAAAGGAACGGAGAGAGAAGTCGACGAGGTAAAGAAAAATAGAAGGACTGTGGCAAACGACCAACCAGAGCGAGGTAACACAAAACAGGGCGGTGGAAAGAGATTGTGTAGAGAAGAGAGAAGAGAAGAGAAGTCGGACGACTTCGGACCAACGTCGTCGACCTGAGGCAGCTTTAACTGAGGGATCCAACAGTAAAAATTCAACATCTGAAATAACTTTTCAAATATTTACTATCACTTGTGTCGACTCACTCAAGATTTTTCTAAAATGAGCTACACCAGGACACCGCAACCAATTGTGAGCAAGAGTTGTGAGACCCTTGTCAGCAAATGTGAAATACCGATCATCGATCTTGCTCACATGGGTAAGCGTCTTGTCAAAGTAATTTATTAATTACTTATTTTGCTGAGAGAAATTTTTTTTTTTAAAGGTCAGAGAATGCTGGAAATCATTTTATTGACAATTTTTTGAAATATAGATAAAATCTTTTCTTGATAAAACTCTCAGTATCGTTGTAACAACTTGATGAGCAGAAAACATTGATGAAATATTGCATATAAATTTTCACATTTATGGGAAAAATATTTTCTTAAACTTTAATAACAACTTCATAATATTTTTTAAATTTTCATTATGAATAAATATTTATATGAAGATAAGAAATACGTTTTCTGCTCATTATTTATTACTAAGTATTTTGAAATCTCATGAAGAAAACAATGAGATGAACTAAGTATTTTTATTATTACTTTTTTCTTGAAAGTTGAATAATACACGGTATAAGAATTTTCGAATATCATAATTCTGTTGGAATAACCACCTAATGAAATGAACTATTAGCTTCAAGTTTAATTTATATTACGAAGTATATCGAACTAATCTTTTGTTTTGAAATGACTAATTGCAGCACGTGATCATGTGAGGTTTTCGTTGAACTGTTAGTATGTTTAATAAAACCCTACATTACTATTGTACGTGTTTGTACTTGTAGTTTAAGATATGTTTGAATATCAGTATCAACATTGGGACCTAAAGTGTGTATATAACTATTTAATCAAACTTACCGTTGCATGAAAGTCCGTTATATGCGAGTGACTCCTCGGGCCTTGTCGATTATAAACACGAACGTAATGAAATGAAAAAGTAGGCGGTTTCGTATATTAATTTTATCACTTTTTTTTTTAATTGATTCATTTAAATTCACTTGATATACCGTTGTAGATTTGTTGACATTTTTTTCTGAGCCAATAATTTCTACTTTACTCCAATAACAAATTCTTGCTAAATAGCCTTTTAAATAAGGAAAAAAAAAGATGATAATTTTTTTTGCAAACTTTAACTTTTAATCCATCATCAATTTTTTCTGAAATAAGAAAACATTAGCAACGTAAATTATTTAGTGATGTAAAAATACACTCATTGCATTCATTTGAATAATTTCTAAGCATTGTTGGAGAACAATGAAACCTAGAACTCAAATTCCAAGCGAATTTCATTAGATAATAAATTAAATAACTTCTTTATTATTGTCTTAAGAAATTACATACATTTTGTCTTTTAAAACATAACTCTGAAATTTTTTATGATTTCATTTATATAACAGATTCAATATAATATCGTACTACTTGATAAAATTAACTTCTAAAATTTACTCCAAAAATTGGAGTGTAACCCATTTCTTAACAAACATCTATTTGACATGTAATTCTTCAACGAGACCGGTGAAATCTACAGTTAAATATTCGGTAACATCTGGAGATCAACTTTCACTGTATTGTCATACACAAAGAATAAAAACAAATATATATATAAACCGAAAGGCGACACATAGAGCCAAGGGGAAAAAGAGATCCAGAAAGAATATATACAGCTGGTGAATCTACTGGATGAATCATGTATGTGTGTTAATTGGAGCGTGTGTGGTATTTTCAAGAAATTTTAACAATCTCCCACCAAAATAATTCTGTCAATTGCATTAATAAAAAGACATGCGAATACAATTTATTGTATGTTTGAATAAAACAAATACAAGAGAAAAATGTTGGTAGTGAAGCCAATGGGATTGTAGGTTACATGGAAAAGGAGAAAGACAGCAGAAAAGAGGGACGCGACGCGGTTGCAACGGTTGCTTAGCAACGAGAAACGATACGAGGCCGGAGCACACGCAGTAGTCTAGATGTCGAGAATTGCTAAGTGGTATGGGCCTAGTCTGACTTGTTCCCTTAGCCTCGCTAAGGGCCCTCCTCATTCCCACCACATTCTTTCCTTGCTACAGGGTGTTTCAGTTCATCTAACTACTTTAGTAAATGTACATTACCATCTCTTAAACATTATTATTTGTCAATATTTAAAGTTTATTTTGCTTATAAGCTTTTAAATGGTATTCAGAACGAATTAAGCTGCACGAGTATTGTTAACAAAACATCTAGGTCTCTAAAATGCTAGCTGGCAGTAATTTTTTTAATTGGCATTAAATTTAGGCTTGATAAGTATTATATCAGTTATGTAATGCAATTCTTACTGATCTTTTTTAATCCACTGATAAATAAATTGGTGACTTTTTCATTGCAACAATTATATTTCCTAATTTATTTTTTATTGACTTTAATAACTACAAAGAATTTTAATTGCACTTATCTGTATGTTTTAAAACAATTATTCATACATAAGATAGTAATTTTATTAGAAAAAAATACCATTGCTTAGTTTTTATTTAGAAAGTTGTGTAAATTTAAATTCAGTTTTAAGTAATAGTTGGGTGGATAAAAAACAGTATTATTCACATTTTATGATTTTTATTGATTTATTGAATGAATATTTTCTTAAACTTGTTATTATTGAAGAAAAACAGTTAGATATGCTATCAATCACTTGAATTTGTAACATTATGTGTCAAGTTAATGATAGATTGTAATAGATAAAGGAGTGCTAATAAGAAATATGACACTTTTTTATTTACAAAATTATCTGTGGATTATTCCATACATTTTTCATTATAAATTTCTCTCCCTTATTTTTAATAAATTGATGACCTTTCTTATTTATTAAATAAAATAGTATTCATCAATATAACTGTTTCTAAATTATACAGGCTACCAATAAGTCATTATTTCTCATAGACTTATCCTATTAATTTTCAAAATAACCCATAATTTTATAGCTCTTTGAATAAAATTAAGTTATTTACTCATTTTTACAGTCATTTAACTTCTTATCTAAAACTGCATCAAGATGTTGATAAAAAATTGCTAATGAAGCATAACATGATCTATAATTTTATATAAAAATAAGTTATATTCTGATTTTCTAACTTATCTTATAACGAGTTTATTAATGATCATATTGAAGTGCTGATAAAAACTCATCGAAAATTTGTCCAGTAAAAATTTCACTTCCGTTTCTGTGAACTTTGAATCGAGATCTCATTGGCAGTGTTGGTTCATGCTAGCTAGATCTAAATTCCTACTTTGTCTCCAGTATTCCTGTTTATCCATGTTGTGACTCATGAATTTTTTCCTCATTATCTAGGTCATGAGTGGGTGCTAGTATTTTTTGCAGTTAAAATGTGTTGATTTATTCCTTTTTATGTAATGTCTTCATATATTCCTTGGATCCTGACTCATCTGATAGAGCTCATTGTTTTATATGGCCATTTAATAAGTAATAACTCATTCATACATGCAATTAAATGGATAAAGTTGATATTAATACGAATATAATATAAAGGTAATTTATTTTATGCCAATTTTTGATTATCTTTATTCTTCATCTCTACCAGTGTCCCAGTCTCTCTTTGTGTTCTTTTTCTTTCAGTTCAATTCTTGGCAAGAGTAATATAAGTACTCATATCAATCCAAATTACGACAATGAATATGCTTATAGCTTTAAAAAGGTTATAATCAAAGTGCGGTAAATTCTTGCTATTGGTAGGCCTATAAAGTGGGAGTGAATGATTCAAAGTGTTGAGAGTCTAGAGTCTAGACAGCAAAGACTTTAAAACATTCAAGTCTTAGCTTTTAGTTTCTGTCTGCTTGTCTGTATTCCCTTTCGCCTTCAGTATAAGCAATAGTTATATGTATTATTGTTATTATTATTATTATTCCTCTTCTTCCTTCTCTTAACTTTGACTACTACTAGTACTACTACAACTACTTTGACTATCAACTTTTAACTCTTCTGTTGTACACCGGGCAAACGGCCAACGACCAACCGCTTTTAGTTTGGCGACACATGAGCTCACTTCAGAGACAAGTCTCTCTCGTTTCGTGACCCCACTGAGATTTTTTGATGACCCTATTCTGTAGATTTAATTTAAATTTATAAATTTAAATTTAAACTAATGTATTTCCAAACACCCATCATGCCTTCCAGACTATTGGAGTAATACATTTTTACATTTAATATTGAAAAATGAGTTCATTTAATAGCCATAGAAAATAAAAAATTCACTTTATGAAAATTAAAACAATATATTTTTTCCCTTTTTTAACAAAAATTAACAACAATAAAAGTATTGACTGTTAATTTTTATATCATAAATCAGCCAAAATTAATTAAATGAATAATCTTAGTAAAAAACATTTGATTTTTTAAAAAATAATCATAAAAATACAAACACTATTTTATAAATGTTTTTTAATTATAATTTATTTAAATACCATAATGTTGAAAGAGAAATTAATTTCAAAAGTTAAGTTACAATTAAAAATTTTTTTTTTTTTCATTTTTCAATGAATGGTAGAGTTGAATAAAAAATTTATTAAGGTTTATTTAAAATAATCATGCTGTTATAACTTCCTAGTGTGCTAATTAAACATATAATGCATACTTACAGTTGACAAAGAAGTATTACTTCACATAATTTGTTATTAATAATTCTGTATTAAGCAACTGAATATTTTACTTTAATTATAAGAGCTGTCTGACTATTTCTTGCTCACTTCCGACCTCTAATAAATTCAATTCCGTTCTATTTAACATAAAAAAGATATCACTACCGTCCGAAATTTAATTCCTACTCAAAAATAACTTTCTACAAATTCTTTCATTTATTTTATTTAATTATTTTTTATTTACATTATGATGGATTCATGTTGTTATCATACACCATTAATACCATTTATTTCCCAATGATTGATAAAATTCCTATGCAAAATTAATCAATAGAATATTTTGTCAATTTGAAGATAAATAATAATTGATCATTTATATTACAAAAATACAAGTAGTATATTTTTGAATGATGATAGAAATTTGTTTTACAACAGAAAACAATGATAACCAAATATCTACTAATCATCATCAAAATATTACTTGATGTATAAAATATTTTTATCTAATCAATTACATATGTTAAAAGCTAAA